TCCCTATGTAATGACATGCTGGCCAGCTTTGTGTTTGCAAAAGCAGCAGAGAGAGTGAATGAGGGAAATATAGAGAGAGGCTACCTACCTGCTTCCTGTCCTGGAGTTTGGGGTACCCCACAGAATTAGGGTAGCACTGAATGTGGGAAGGGATCTAGTTTATCCATGTCTTTGTAACTGCTGTGCTGGGTCAGAATCAACATGTATTTTATCAGTGAGGAGGACTGAAATGCTTTACACTAGTTCATGAACATGCCTGGGAAGTAGAAATTAATAACCAGAGAAATTATAAATCAAATACTATAGAAGATACATCACTTTGAACTCCGTATGAACATACCTACCCAATATTTGCATTCAAATTAAAATAGATGAACATGATTACATTCATATGCCATTCCAATTTAATACACCCTAATTTTCAAGATGTTTAAAAATGTCATATCATGCTATTGATCTAGCTATTTGAAGATTGAGCAAAAGTTAAAAAGCTGTTCTGGGTTCACCAAGAAAATATTCTGGGAATCAGCTTGTGAGCATGCACTCTGCAAGTCTGGCTTGATAACATCTGTTTTGGAAATCTCACCTGGTATGAATTGTGGGGGTGCCTATGGAGAAGTAGTTTTTCAGCCCCATTCTGAAATTCTATCATTTGTGACTCATTATTCTGTGTTACTGTTGCTCTTCTCAGGCATCCCCTTTAAATAATGAAAACTCTCTGGTGTGGGGATACTATGGGGAGCAGTGATGATTGAGTTAGTCTTAGTGACAGATAGCTGTTTTTTGCCACCAGAGCTGAGCACAGAATTAATTCACTTTACTTTTTTATGCACGAGGCCAATTCTATCAATCAGTCTTTCTTTTTCTTTCTTTCTTTCTTTTTTTATTTGCTTGTCGGTAAGAGTACAATTTTATTTGGTGAGTGGAGGAGGAAGACTTTGCATATTTGCTGGAGATGTCTTTATATGCTCTACTGGACTCTTTGGTGGGGAATAATAGGAGGAATTATGCATATTTCAGCAATAGAAAAGACTGCACTGCTGAATGTGGACAAAACAAATGCAAATATATTTCATCCCTAATAGAAATGTGAGGAATCTAAATGGGGTTTTTTGTGTTTGTTTAATACCATTATTTATAATTTTCATTTAAAGCCATGTAGCAACCTTTGAAGAATTCACTGATATTCCTTATAAGAAGAAATAAAAATAAATCATTCAAGGCAAGGGAAAAAAAAACATGACCCAAAGACCTCGAGATAAATATATTACTTCTGGTTATCTTTGGACTTGAAGAACTTGCATTTTTACTAGTCCGTAGTCATAATTACAGGTGTGATGGCTCTTTTCAAGGCATATTTCCTAAGTGTGTCTGGATTACTGCTCTTCAGGTTAGGATTTAGTCATTTAAGTTAGTGTGGCTGCTGATATAGTAACATAATATGGGTTTTGCCTCAGATAGTTATTGCAGTAATAAAGAAATGTCTTACTGGAGATCTGTTTATATTTTTTCTTTTACTGCTATTGCACAATTATGGGAAAATGTTCTAGCAAGTAGCTAGAAAAATCTAAGGGTAAGAATTGGCTTAATGTTATATGTACAGTATTTCTCCACCTAACTCAAGCTTCATACTTATGTTTTTAACAAAATTGCAGATCACAGAAAAAATGTGTAGCCTTTCACCATGCAGGTAAACATTAATATGATTTATTTTTCATAACTCACAATTAAATATATTTATTTAAAAAGAACATCATGCATAGTTCTAATTTAGAAAAATGGCTTATTTATCAAGTACTTCCACTTTGAGGCTGAATGCACACTTGCACATAAACAAATGAGCAATTGATTTAGGAACATAATCTTGGCAAAAAGTGAAAATATGCATTTCCAAAACAAATAGCAACGAACAAATTCTTCTCCTGCTTTTGTCTCAAATTTTTTCTTTTTTGCAAGACTAAAGGTAAACACCAGAAACTTGGGTGTTTCAAATGCCCTCAGGAGCTCAGCAGTCATCCCTTGGGTAAGGCCTTTCCAGACTTCCCAGTGGCAGCTGGGAGCATTTCCCCTGAGCCCCAGCCTTCTCTTGCATACATTTTCTCCTCAGCACCTCTCACAGTGCAGGCACATCGATGGTTATTTGTTTGTGTCCTGATTACTCTGACCTCCCTGAATGTAGAGATTCGGTATTTTATCTCTCCATCACTAAAATAGGTTGCACAGAAATAAAATTAAATAAGATAAAAACAGAGAGGGAGGCAAACCAGAAGAGACTCTTAACTATAGAGAACAAACTGAGGGTTGCTGGAGGGGAGGTGGGTGTGGGGAATGGGGTAACTGGGGGATGGACATTAAGGAGCGCACTTGATGGAATGAGCACTGAGTGTTATATGCAACTGATGAATTCTACCCCTGTAACTAATAATCTACTCTATGCTAACTAAATTGAACTTAAATAAAGAATTTTTAGAAATAAAATAGGTAGCACAGAGCCTGAGACACAGTGCATGCTCACTAAGTGTTAAAGCCCTGATGTAAGAATGACAGTGAACGTTGCCCCACTTTCACCATTCATAATTTTCTACTAACTACAAATCCTCAGTATGTTTTCTATACCTGCCATGCCCACCACGGTCTCAAATTATGGCAGACGCAGGTGCCCTTGCCTATAGTACATCTGTCAACTCCTTCATCCATATAAAGCTGAACTTTCCTTATGGCTCTGTTCTCTTCCCTCTACTGCCATAGTATTTCTCCACTACATTCACTCACATTGTTATCTCTTTTCTCTGACCTCACATTGCACCACACAGCTTATCTCTCCATAAAATGTTTTGAATTGCTCTCTATCATTGCATTGTCTCAAATACTGTTTTGTATCTTCATGAGCAGCACTGCCTAGGTAGAAATTTCTGTGACGATAAAATATTCTGTAATCTGCACCATCTAATACAGTAACAGTAACCATTGCCACATATGGCTATTGAACACTTGAAATGTGGCTAGTGCAACTGTGAGCCTAAAATTTAATTTTAAAATTTTTATATTAATTAACATTTATAATTTAAGTAGTCACATGTGGCTAATTGCTACCATATTGAATAACATAGTTCTAGAGCATGAGGCCCAGTACTTGGCACCCATCGCAAGTGACTAATAATACTTAATGCAGATTATGTTCAAGAATTTGACAGGAAAATGTGTTGCTCTGGGAGAATGTTTATCAAATACTTGGGGCCTTTAAAAAATCAAAATGAGACATTAAATTTATTGGGAAGAAATAATGAATTAACTTGAGAGAGAAAAGGAAATTTAAGTGCCTTAGAAAAAGCAAATTGACTAGGAAGAGACATAGCTGTAAAAACCCAAACTAATACTGATATCCAAAAGCCAGAGGAATAGCTATTAAATATACCAGCTTGATTCTCTCTTCTCTAAACTCAGAATATGAATTAATTAAAGAAGATTGAAGAATAGAATGAACAAAATGCAATAGGTTTAATTCAACTACATTCTATTAGCAGAATTTCAATGAAAATGTTTTATTTATTATTAGATCTTCTGAGAACATACTGTTATATTTTAATTTTGTTGTATTGACTATCAGACTGTTATAATTGAATTTTATTGTATTGACTATTGCTTGAAATAGCTGGCCCATAGCTATTTAGTTAGATATACTTTTACAGAAATGTTTTATTTTTCTGTACCTTGGCTTTTTACAAATTTTTTTGTACATTTTGAATTCCAGTTACAAGCTGATTTCAATAACTTTGTCTTTTCTGTAAAAACTGTTGAAGTCCAGTTTCCCTTATTCACTTAATAAATATTTATTGAATGTTGTCTGTGGACTAGCCTGCTAATCTTTGGGAATGATCTGGTAAATGAGCCAGATGTATTCTTTGTCATCATGGAACATGAATCTAGCAGGAAAAAAGTCAGGTTGGTGAATAAAAGCTAAGAAACATTAAAAATATTGGCACTATTGACATGCTAAGTAGTATGGTTCCAACTATGCTCCTGGCTCCAAGCAAATGAGTCAGTGAAGAGCCCAGGAAGATCTATGGGTGAGGGCAGACCGAGAAATCTTCATGGGTGAAACTTGGCTCTAGTTGACCTATAAAGAGTGGCTGGGAGTTGGGGAGCAGCTGGGTAGGTAATAGGAATGTCAAAGTCATTACAGGTGAGAGAAACAACACAAATACAGTCTATACTACGGGTAGGAAATAATCATAGAGAACTCTCTTGTCGACATAGACAGACATGTGATATTAGTAAATAGGGGCAGTTTATGGAGAGTATACCCAGTCTGACACAATGTTAAGATTCCTAGGTGAAGGTGATTCCTGAAGATGCTGTACATAAAGACCAGAGCATAGGTCAGGCATTAGAGAAGGAGCTACAGATTTGGGAATTATTGACTACTTATGCTGCTTGAGCCAATGACAGTGGTGAAATTTAGAGGGAGAGAGAAGGTAGACCTTTAGTCTTAAATCTGGTAACAAAAGATAGAGCCTTGGGTGGGGGAGAAAACCAATAAATGATTTTTGTGAATTATAAAGTAGGATGAGCAGCAACTTATCAGAGCCAGAGGAAGATTATCTTTAAAGAATGAAACATCAAGCAGGTCATATGTCGACAGGTTGAGGAGAAGAAACTTGAGAAAAGTTTCCTAGATTTAGTAAGGGGAAGGCCCATGATTATTTTGAAAGAGGAGATCCATTAAGAGAGTCAACGCAAAAGCCATTTTTCAGGAAATAAGAGAAGAAGGCGCTAGAAACCACATGTTTGGAAATGTCAGCATTGAAAATACTGAAAGATTTCATAGAGGCTAGAAGATCTAGTGGGCTATTTATTTGTGCATTTTTTAAAGACAGGAGATCTAAACATGTTGAAGATAGAAAATAAGGAGCCTTTGGTGTTTTTGAAATTGAACACAGTTCACTGGTCCTTATTGTGTCTTGTTTAAACTCGAATCTCTCTTTTTCATTAAATCCTAGCGAGTCCATTACAGAAGAAACCCTGAAAAAGTCAAAGGAGATTGGGTTCTCAGACAAGCAGATTTCAAAATGCCTTGGGCTGACTGAGGCCCAGACAAGGGAGCTGAGGCTTAAGAAAAACATCCATCCTTGGGTGAAACAGGTAAAAGAGTTTCCCTTTCCTCGAAGGGGGAAACATAGGCACCAACTCATAGAGCCATTGCCAATAGAAAGAGGGGTGGAATTAAAAAATGATTCTACTTGTCTAATCGATGCCCATGATGCCACCAATTTTATTCAGCACAGGATTGATTTAAGCTTAAAAGGGAAGAGTTGAAGGGGCACTGGGACGTAAAGCTAAGAGTGAGTATGTGGTTTTCTCTGCCTAAATGAAAAAACATCAAAATGACCTCTCCTTTACTTTTTGACCCATGTGCAAATATATCTGTGATAAGATAAATCCTTAGTGTAATGGAGGGACTTGAAATACCCTAGTATGGTGGCCGACCTCTTGAAAAGAATAGTTATCTCTTTTGGCACTAACTTTTTACAGGGTAATACTTTATTTTAAGTGCCCCATCATTATGGTTCATTTAGTATTCATTGTGATAGGGTTGGGCATAATGAGCTCATCTAGTATTCATGGCAATCACACAAGAACTTTCATAGGTGTACCATTGTGGGTTTTTTGTTTTTTTTTTTTTGGACTTTAGTAGAGGTATGCTTTGGCTTAAAGTACCACCAGCTGGTTTTTGTCCTTTAAAAATCATTGACTTTTCTCCACATGCTCAGGGGGCACATGCATACCCTTTGGTCTCAGGCTTGATGCTGAATATATTCTAGTCAGCAATTATCTTTCTTCCTTCTCCCCTGCCTTACACTAGCCTGCCCTGTTGGCCCTGAATTCTTGCTCACTAAGCTGAGCTCCTGGCCTTAGAGGACTGAATCGATTTACTTTTTCCAAATATGTTCAGTGAGACCTTGTCTCCTTCCCCTCTTCCCCATGCTTTAAGGTATTTGTGTCATCTCATTGCTCAGTGCCATAGGTAACTTAAATCCTATGCATTAATTTGCAAACCAAAGACATTCTTACATATAGGTCGTTTTGCTCTGATTTGAGCTGCTTTAGATAGCTGTCTGGGTAAATCTTCCTGGTAACGAGTTCACTATGACCATTTTGCTATGTACATGAAAAGTACTGCTGTAATCAATCAGTGATGCTCTGGGGTGTGTATTGTTATTTATTGCTCAAATGATAACTAGATTATATCATTGTTCCTCCACCCAATCTCATTTTCAGAATTAGAAAGTAATTGAATTGTACCTACCTTTTTATCTGTCTTTGTATCTGATAGTAAGAGGCATTAAAGGAATATGAACACAGTACAATTTTTTTATTCTGGAAAAAAATACAACAGGGAATAAAATCCCAGTTTATTTATTTATTTATTTTCTCTTGCAGATCGATACACTGGCTGCAGAATACCCATCAGTAACAAACTACCTCTATGTTACCTACAATGGGCAGGTAGGAAGTGCCAAACTGCTATATGCAGAAAGCTCTAGATTTAGTAAATGGTCCACAATGAGGGAATATAATTTTTGTGTTTTTGCTTATCTAGTAATCTTGGTATTAAAAATGACATAATGTGGGTCAGATGTGATAATGTCTTTCCATACTCAGTCTTTTCAGAACTGCCTTAAGATGGTGAAATCAAACAAGTAAAAATATAAGGATAACAGTTACATGAACATACAATTATGGTGTGTTCTCACGGCTATTTAATTAAAAAATATTGAACTTATTTTTTGTGACTAAGTAGAGCTTATATGTTATACTTCTGAGTTCCCAGAGACTAGTAGAGGATACACGGCAATAAGAGGAAGACTCAGTGACAGGACAAAGAGTTTAATTAGATTGAAGAATAACACACAATAATTTCTGTGTCTTCTTTTTTTTTTTTTCTCCTCAGGAGCATGATATCAATTTTGATGACCATGGAATGATGGTGTTGGGCTGTGGTCCATATCACATTGGTAAAGTGATAACTTACCTTTACATAAGACTTTATAGTTCATATAGTACTTTTCACACATGTTCATTCTATTATTCTAAGAACTATGAAAACAGATGCTGTTATAATAAGTATTTCACAAATTAAGAAATTGAGGTTCAGATAGGTAAAGCCCAAGTTGATATGGCTATTAAATGGTAGAAGTGAGACTCAGATGCAAGTCTCAACTATAATTCCTTCTGTTTCACCATGCCCCCCCTTTTATGTTTTTATCCTCATGAAATAAACAGAGCCTCTCACTGGGATTAGGGACTGAATTACACTTTGATCTTTTCTCATCTGGCACAGTTTTACGCAAAGATTTATATTTGCTCAAGAACTTCATATATCAACCAGAAATTACATTTGTAGACGACGAGATCTGTGAATATATGACTTCTGTTGATATCGAACGCAAAGAGCTTTTATCACTGGTGCATAGACAGAGCATTATATAATTTAATTAAAATGTTCTCAGCAGAAATTGTTACAGCTCACCCAGTCACTTAAAATTAGACATTTAATAACATTAATACAATAATCATAATTTACAGTTACAAGTATATATTTAAATAGACAATGATATTTCTCAACAAGTGTATTTAACATTTAGTCTCACAAGTATTCTAGTATGGAAATGATGAAATACATAATTTAAAATGTATGTAGTCTTACTCTGTTACTTTAAACATAGTTTATTTTAGGTTTTACAATTAATCAAGTGCTTCAGGATATCCTACTTCAGCGATCTTTGGTCAAATATTGAAGTAGGTCAACAGTGTTTATATCTTTACCCCTTTAGTTATCTTAGGCTAAATGGCCCGAACACCTCCACCAGGACCTGCCGTTCTCTTCTGTAGACCTTTCTTCCTTCCTATTCAAATTTTACCTAATCTATGTAACAATTCTGCATTACCTTAGGACTCAGGGAAGACTAACTAGGCTGATAATCAAGTATATACTTAATTGATAGAGAAAATTGGCATGCTACTATATTTGGATAATTATTGTTCTGATAAGGATTTTTAAGAGACAAAATCCTAATGCAAAGGATTAGTACAAATCCCAGGACTTTCAGTTCTGTGGCATCCCAGTAGAGGTGATATTTTGAGGTATTTAGGCCATTATTGTACTTCAAATTCTTTTTTAGAAGGTCACTCACTCTGCATGGGGTGGCCTTGCCAAGCTTAAAAGGGATATGCTTGGAAAGCACAGGATTTTCCAATCAATCAAGATATGTCAGAGCTCCAAGGCACTTCAGGGATCATTGGGTTTAGACCTCAGACAGCAGAGTAAGTGGATTAACTAAAACGAGAACTCCAGTGTTCTGATCACTAGCTGGACTATTGTGTTCTGAGGTCAGTATGGTCACTTTGAGTTCTTTTCTGCAAACGAGGGTTTTTTTAAAAATCATTACAATGATCTCCCATTAACTTTGAATTTGAATGTTTTAAATATGGAGATTCCCTATTGGAGAACTTAGCATACAAAATAAGCCAACGTGTCATTGTTTTTTAATTAGTCCCTGCTTTTCCTACTATTATTGTAGTGTGCATAACGGATCTGAAATTTACATTTTGGAGTTTTAAAAATTGCAACGAGAGGGGATTAGCTTCCTTAGCCTTAGCCATAGCTTTCTGCTCCTCTTTGTGTTGTAACTTCATGTTTCTTTTACTCCTCTTCCCAATCTCACCCTCTCTGCAGGCAGCAGTGTGGAATTTGATTGGTGTGCTGTCTCCAGCATCCGCACACTGCGTCAGCTTGGCAAGAAGACAGTGGTGGTGAATTGCAACCCTGAGACCGTGAGCACAGACTTTGATGAGTGTGACAAACTGTACTTTGAAGAGTTGTCTTTGGAGAGAATCCTAGACATCTACCATCAGGAGGTAAAAAGAGGAAAAAAAAAAAAGAAAGAAAAGAAAGGGGAAAAAAAGAAGAAAAATATATGCAGTGCATACTTTATAGATGCAGATACATGTACATAGATTTATGTTGTAACTCCCCTTAGGGGAAAGAGCTGCCAGTGCCTCCCACTGTCTAATTTTGTAGTGAAACTAAAAAAAATGATCCCAGCCTTAGAGTCTTGAGGCCCTGGCACAGAGAGATTATTTTTTTCTTTCTAAGCATTCCAGCTAGATTGAAAACTCTTCTTGGTAACGTGTGCCAGACAGATATTAGCTAGTACAAGACAACCCTCCAAAATATTTTGCAGAATGATTTAATTGATCATCTAGACATACAATAAGCCGCCTCTCTCTAGTTCCTGTGTTGTTGCGGTTTAATAATGGATGGTCCCCAGGGGAGTTGTTTACAAATGACCAGTTAATTCTGTGTGCCATCAGATGAAGCCATCAGTCTTCAGTCTAAGATCCATGAGTTCGTTCTGAACAATATCGGTACTTTTCTAGCTTTCTCTGACAGTTCTTCCACCCGCACTCTAGTATTATCAAGAATATCTTTACTCTGGATTCTTATGACCACAGGTTACTGTAAGTCTATAGGACAAGTTAAAATATCTTACAGTTAAAAAAAAAAATAGGGCGCCTGGGTGGCTCAGATGGTTGAGTGTCTGCCTTCGGCTCGGGTCATGATCCCGGGGTCCTGGGATCGAGTCCCGCATCGGGCTCCCTGCTCCTTGGGAGCCTGCTTCTCCCTCTGTTTCTCTCTCTCTCTCTCTCTCTCCCCCACTCTGTTGCTCATGAATGAATAAATAAAATCTTTAAAAACAATAATTGCTGGAAGATTTCAGAGTGATGTCTAGTGGTTGTGTCTTTTGATGTCATTACAGTTAACTCCCTACTGTGGAGAATCATCCCTATGTATAAAATATGGTCACTTAGGGAAAAAAATACTGAATTAGGGCCACAGTACTTAAGTTCAAGTTTTGACTTGACAATTCATTGAGTTGTGCAAACTTCCTAAATTCTGTGTTTCTATTTTTTTTTTTTTTTGGTTAATGAACCAGATGAGCGTATATATGTGCTACATGCAGGTACTGTGAAGATAAGGAGATTTGTGGCTGAAACCACATTGGAAAGTGTAAAGTTCAGTGCTAGAACATGTGATGATTTTATTACAGTGAAGAAAAATAGAAAAACTTAGGATGGGTATACCATCATAGTCATCCATTTGGGTTTGACCCACTTATCTTCTGATATAATGAAATTGAACCTCTGGGTAGAATATACAGGATTTTTATTTTTCTCTCTGACATGATTTTTCTAATAATTTCTTAAGATTCATTTCAGGTGGGGATCAAAACTAGTGCTACAAATATATCTTGAATACCTTTTAAATACCAGGTTCAGCAGGATGGGGAGGTGTAAAACCAGCTCCCTACCTTCAAAACATTAGAATAAAACTGGGAGGGGCGCCTGGGTGGCTCAGCTGGTTAAGCGACTGCCTTCGGCTCAGGTCATGATCCCAGGGCCCTGGGATCGAGTCCCGTATCGGGCTCCCTGCTCCTTGCGGAGCCTGCTTCTCCCTCTCTCTCTCTCTGCCTGTCGCTCCCCCTGCTTGTGCGTGCACTTTCTCTCCATCAAATAAGTAAATAAAATCCTTTTTTAAAAAAGAATAAAACTGGGACCCATAACATAAATATATGAAAAATTACATAATTGTTTAAAATATATTAACAAGGATTACAAGGAATTGCAGCGGGCATTTTACACATAATTAATTATTTCCCCATGAAATGGTTTAAGGAAAGATTAAAAACTTCTACAACTGCCTTTGGATATGGTTATACATGGATATTAATGAGATCTTTTTATAATAACTGAATTCAGTATGATGGTAAAAAATAAATTGGCCCTTCTTTGAAACTGATTGTCATTTAGAGTGCTACTATGTAAGATATTTTTATTTTTTATTTATTTATTTATTTATTTAAGATTTTATTTATTTATTTGAGAGAGAGAGAATGAGAGATAGAGAGCACGAGAGGGAAGAGGGTCAGAGGGAGAAGCAGACTCCCTGCTGAGCAGGGAGCCCGATGTGGGACTCGATCCCGGGACTCTAGGATCATGACCTGAGCCGAAGGCAGTCGCTTAACCAACTGAGCCACCCAGGCGCCCTATGTAAGATATTTTTAAATGTCATATTGGAGAATATAAGAGCAATATTCCATTGATGTATTTGTTAGACTATCCCACAGGAAATGTTAAAAAACATATTCACATATCATACATACATGTACATATGTGTGTATGTTTCCTTCTGTGAGGTTGTCGTGTATCTCTTCACAACCTCCAGGAGACTGCCATAATCCATCTGTGGGTGTCCCTAGTGATGCTAAAGGCACTGAGACATTCAGTAGTAAATCTGCAGAAAATTGGAAGCACATCTAAACTTACTCAAAAGCACACATTTGAGTCACTTTAGAAGGGCAATAAGGTACATAGCTACATAGGATGATAGGTCTCTTGGTCTAGTTCAGGACCAATGGTATTCCCATGGCAATAAGGATGCACTTCTAAAGAAAACATAAAGGGGGGGGTGTCAGAAAAGTGACATGCCCTGTGAGTAAAGCAGGCTGACTCAGTCAATAGAGCATGAACTCTTGATCTCATGGTTTGAAAAGTTATATAAATGAACATTAATTTTCTTCTATATCCCGGATCCACATAAGACCCATTTCTCATTTTTTTTTAAATTTCTTCATTAAAAACCAGATTGAGTCTAAAAATGCCAGGCAATATACCTGAGACCTTATGATGTCCCTGTCTAGTTTGAGTCCTTAATTTTTCTTGATTTATGAATAATTTACTGGATCATACCCCATAAAAATTTACTCTGATTACTGATGTAATTGTTCTATTTTTAACACCTAATGCTATACGTATATACATATACAATGGCATCTCTATAACACAATCTGAGTTAAATGAATGAATGACAAACATTGATTAATGTAGACAAAACCCATTAGAGATTGCGTGACTCTAAACTAGAATTGGGTTTCATTCCTAGCATTTGATTTAACTGTAATTAAATATAATCTTAAGGGTCTGCCTAAAGTATTGAAAATGTTTTACTAAAATGTGAATTACTAAGATAATAAAGCACAGTTAAGATAATAAATCAATCTCACAGACAGATGTACAAAGAGTAGAGTTTTGTAAATTAGAGATAATACACGAAACTACAAAAATCAGGGTCATCTTTTAATGAATTAAATGTTACTTCTGTTAGTAAGATATATCTTCTCTCTTGCATTCTGTCTATAATATAGCATTTAATTTGCCCATGAAAATAAGGACAAACCAAAGTACTAAAAATACATTTGTGGTGTGATTGCATTTGAATACTGTTTCAGAAATATTCTTGTGTGGTGTTGTCTTAGCTTAGTGATACTAAGTTAAAAAAAAATAGGAAACTAAACTGAGGAAAAAGATACAAACAAATCCAGGTAAGGTCAGTGGAACTTTGGGACCCTGATGGAATTATTTTCAGCCTAAAGTATTTAGAAATCTGTGAAACAAATCTGAATTTTAGAATATTTTATGTCAGTGAGTTATTTAAAACTATTGAGGCTTAAGTGATTATGGTAATGATAATTTACCCATGTGGGAAACCAAGTTCTTCTCCTTAAGTCCCTGCTAGTTCTGTGCTTGCAGTTGGGGCCAATTTAAGATGAATTCTTCCACAAAACTGTCCTATATTAACTTCATCCTACAAACATGTTCTCTTGTACTGACTTCCTTTTGCTGCGTGGGCAAAACTACACTACATCATCAACCATTGCTCTGAAACATCCTGTGAATGTACTTGTCTTTCCAGGGATGATCTTTATTTCTGGAGTCAATGATGAGAATGGGGTTTTGCAGAGGAAGTTTTTCTACCACTTTTCAAAAAGAATGTTTTAGAAATAGCTCTTCTTGCAACCTCTAACAGTAACTACCCTTGAAATCAGGCCGAAAAATAGAGTTAGCTTAAGATTCAAAGATTTGGTTTATTAGTTAAACATAGCTGCTTTGCAGTGTGGAGAATTGAGTTCTAGTACTAGGCTGTATTTGCTAGATTGGAAATATGGCCAAGTCATTTAACCTTCACCGAGCCTCAGTTTCTTTAGCTGTAAAATGGGGAGAGTAATAACTGCCTCAGAGGGATACAGTGAAGGTCAAAACAGATGGTGTAGGGCAAATAATAATATCCCTAAGGAATAGTAGCGGTTTATATTATTACTGTTTTGAAAGTTGCTAATTTGTTGAAAAATAAAAAGCAATTTCATAGAACATTTTGAAAAATGTTAGTATTTTTATTAAAGACTTTTCACTCAACTTTGAGCTCCCATTTAGTGCAATGGACCCCAATTTTTGCTCACAGGTTGTTACTTCTCTTTTTATTTTAGAAATTATGTTGAAGTGTTTCACATAAGAAATCTTTGTATACATTTAATTGAAGAATTAGTTTTTAAGCCTCTAAAATATTAACTCTGCTAATAAACTAAAAATAATAAACAAATAAAAATATTATTATAGTACAAAGAATAAATCTTCTTAAAGGTTTTGCGAAGATGTATATTGAACATAAAAAATGATAAAAGCAGCTTAGGTGCACTTATAAATATGCAGAACTGTGGATTATTGTTTTCCATACTGTTCACAAGGCATTTAAGTACTCAGTGGTAGGGTGTTTGCTTAGGCACTACTATCACTGCTCTCATCAAAGAGAAATAAGCTTTTATCCCTTTTAAGACTATTCCAGAATTATTTCAAATAATGATAAAATACATTTGGTACATATCTATTACTTCAGCAGTTCCAATATTCATTGGTAGGTTATTAAGGCAAATACAAATTATTCCAAGATCAGTGATCTATCAGATATAATAATATTTTCCGATATTAATAACAGTGTTTTATGCACTTATAATTTGTAAGGCCTTTAATGTTTATTATCTTATTTAACTTATATAGTGACCTTGTGAAGCAGACAGATATTATTCTAATTTTACAGACATGAGGACTGAGTGTTGGAGGGAATTAAGATGGGAAGGAACTTCTTTTTTTTTTTTAAATCTGGAAGTTTTGGGGCGCCTGAGTGGCTTAGTCGTTAAGTGTCTGCCTTCAGCTCGAGTCATGATCCCAGGGTCCTGGGATCGAGTCCCCCATCAGGTTCCCTGCTCAGCAGGGAGCCTGCTTCTCCCTCTCTAGCTCCTCCTGCTTGGTGATCCCTCTCTCGCGGTCTCTGTCAAATAACTAAATAAAATCTTTAAAAAAAAATCTGGAAGTTTTGACTCCTAATAGGAGATTAAGGTTAAAGATTCAGACACTGCTTGTAGGGCAAATAGGAAGGAAACAGGGACTAAAATCTGTTACTGGGTACTGCAGACAAGAGCCAAGGTAACCGTAAAGGAGAGAGGATGTAAAAATGGGAGGTAGGATTTAGAATGGACTGTAGTGTAGAGATGGTGGAGTTTAGATAAGAGAGAGGGAAAAAGGTGAGAAGTAACAAAGGCAGGGTAAGGTAAAGTGGGCAGAAAGCTTGCTAGTGGGAGTGCACATAGTTGGGGACACTGAGTAGGAGGTCTTCTTGGTGCTGAGAAGAATGGTGACAAAAAAGGCTGGAGACCCTTCATTGTCTTATTGATGGTGATGAGCTTGCACTTTGTCCTTTAGGCATCGGGAAACTTTGGAGAACTCAAAGCTTCAACTCACACAGGAGTGACTCGGTGAATCAGTTTCGTAGGATGATTAATCTGAATGTGAAGGGCTGGGGTGGAAAGGAACAGGAGAGGTGAGCGTTAGAAGGAAAGATCTATGTCCGTTTCGGAAATTGCAGCAGTAGTCCAAGCAGCACTTGATTACAGTAGAGTACATGGTGAAAATATTAATTGTCTTGATTTCCTTTTTCTAATCGTCATGCACGTCAATGTCACACATTCATGTGTAGTTGTGTGGAAGTCTGATGTGGTAATCATATGTAGTTGTATGGAACTCTCACGTAGATTTTAGCAGGTAAGTGCCTGGAAAGTAAGAACAAAGTTTGTTTATCTCTTTGGGGGCATAACTTTTTTTTAATTTTTTAATTTTTATTTTTTTTTAAGATTTTATTTATTTATTTGAGAGAGTGAGAGAGAATGAGAGATAGAAAGCATGAGAGGGAAGAGGGTCAGAGGGAGAAGCAGACTCCCTGCTGAGCAGGAAGCCCGATGCGGGACTCGATCCCGGGACTCCAGGATCATGACCTGAGTCGAAGGCAGTCACTTAACCAACTGAGCCACCCAGGCACCCTCTTTGGGGGCATAACTTAATATTGCCTATTGATGGGAGACGTGAAACGATCACAACATGTGAAGCAGTTGCTCATTCATCGTGAAGTGACCCCTACGGCTTATATTGTGGTGTCTTGTCCAGGCATGTGGGGGCTGCATCATCTCAGTTGGGGGTCAGATTCCAAACAACCTGGCAGTCCCTCTGTACAAGAATGGTGTCAAGATCATGGGCACGAGCCCTCTGCAGATCGACAGGGCCGAGGATCGCTCCATCTTCTCAGCTGTCTTGGATGAGCTGAAGGTGGCTCAGGCACCCTGGAAGGCCGTTAACACTTTGGTAAGGAGAGAAACACTTGTCTGTTTTTAATGTTCGCTTTTGAAGAGTTGTAACCTGAATGTTAACTATTGCAGATGTGAACTTCAGGGCAGATAGAAGGCACTTATGCTCAGTGACTTTGCTTTAAAGTTGGTGTATTTCCATGATTGCAGTTAAATGCTGGTTATAAATTGTTAAGAGTATTCTCATTAAGATTCGGACAATGAAAACTGTTCAAACTATTTTAGAGCTTGATTGATATTTACAATTAGAAACTAGGAATTTTATATGTTTCAATGTCCAATTTACATTTTAATGGTGTCTTTTGAGAGGAAGAATAAAAAGAGTTGTGTTACCATTTGTTCTAAAGATGCCTTTCTGCAGTTCTACTGAGTATTTTAAACTATTCATGCACTTTTTTGTTGTTGTTTCTATCAATTAGAATGAAGCACTGGAATTTGCAAAGTCTGTGGGCTACCCCTGCTTGTTGAGACCTTCCTATGTTTTGAGGTAATGTGTTGTTTTCCACGGTAATGATTTAAAAATCAGTAGATACAGAACTGTGTGCTGTATGCTAATAGCACTTGGCTTTGATGTGTAGTGATTTGTAAATCCGTCCACAGTCCCCAAACCAACATGGCCAGAGTGAGGACCTATGCATGGTTCTTCAGCCTACTGCTTTTCTTTCAGAGGGCGGAATAAGAGTCCACAGTCCTCCATCTTAGAAGCATGGCTTAGGGCATCTCGTTGCCAAACTGAGGGAGGATAGTTTTACATTAGAGAAGAGAACAATTTCAAAAACCCAAAAAGCAAAACCAGAACAAACCTGGGACATCTCTTTCCAGTATCTGTTTTCTAGTAAGCAGAAATGGCAGCTTATCTCTGACCGTTGTCAGCACCTTCCGATGGTGCCTCTGGTTTGAATTTTTGAGTTTTTGAGATCACATTTTTTAGTAGATGAATTATAATGGTGAGGGACAGGGATAGTGAGGATCTTTTATATTAAACTTTGGAACGAAGTTCTATCATCAAAGGAGAAGTTGTGAATTATCACTTACTCTCTTCAGATGTTACCACATGTAAGGAACGACTTCATTGAACAGGGGATAATAAGAGAAACACAATTTGCTGTGCACAATTTGAAAGTGTAAATGGAATTTGCGATGGGATCCTTTAAAATAATGAAAAATTTGAAATGAGGTGGAAAACCTTCCTTTTTATTTAAATGACATTTTGTGTAAATCACCGTCAAATAATACTTCTTCTTTGAGGTATTAATGTAAGTTAATTTAAACAACACACAGACATTTAAGGGAGGGTTGCAGAAAACAGCTTTGACTCTTGTGCTTCCTTTCTCATCTCTGCAATCTGTCTCTTTGTTCCAGTTTCCTATACTGTGAATTATCAATGTTATTGACTTAGCCTTCCTGTCTTAAATAGACCTTCATCTATTTAAAGTTCTTTATGCATTGAAAGTTCTTTATGCAAAAATATGTAATAGAGTAGAAAACGTAAAGAATGCTACTTTTAAAAAGAAGTGGAAAGTAGTATTTTTCTTCCTTATTTTTTCCCTCTTCTTATTCCTCCTTCTTTCTTCCCATCTCACTTTGAAAATATCAAAATTCAGCATAAATTGAAATCAGCATTCTTTCTCAAGCAATTAATAAGAAGGACACAGTTGAATGCCTTTCAGTCAGATACTGTACATTATATTTGCAAATGTTACTAAAAATTTTATGCTTTTGTGACCTGGCTGGTAGTAGAATGACCTGCTTTGACAGCAGACCTGTGGGTTAAAATCAGCTGTTGTCAATGACCTCTGAAGGAACAGGGTAGGAATAGCTAGATCCTGGGGCACCTGGGTGGCTCATTCGGTTAAGGGTCTGACTCTTGATTTTGGCTCAGGTCATGATCTCAGGGTCCTGAGATCAAGTCCTGTGTCAGGCTCCACACTCAGCAGGGAGTCTGCTTGAGATTCTTTCCCTCTGCCCCTCCCCCTGTGCTCTCTCCCCCACCCACTCTCTCTCTCTCAAATAAATAAATGTCTTAAAAAAAAAAAAAAAAGAATAGCTAGATCCTAGGATGAATTCTGTTAAGGTTTAAGAATTACCTGGAACCAGGCGAGTGAAAGCAGGAAATCAGAAAGGACAAACTTTGGGATACTGCTATCTCTATATTTACGTGGTTTTCTTTGGACATCATCACAGCTCTCACCCCCATTTTGGGTGACTCTTTATTTTGACTGATTGTTCTGGTGATTAAGTGGAGTAAAGACTCAATTTGGGAAAAAGCATCTTCTTACTCAGTCCAGACTGAAGCTAGAGATTGCCTGGAACTGTTCTGAGAAGCAATCAAGTCTAGCATGCTTTTCTTCCAAAGTGGTGAAAGAAACTGACCTGTCCTCCTCTCCTTTCCAGTGGATCGGCCATGAATGTGGTATTCTCTGAGGATGAGATGAAAAAATTCCTAGAGGAGGCCACTAGAGTGTCTCAGGTAGTGTCTGATTTCCTCCTGGTGACTTTTACTTCTGTTAATTGCTATCTTATTTCATATGTTTTTCTTTTCACGTTATGTCAGGATGGTTTTCCCTTTATTTTTTTTTTTCTCTCCCTACCCCTTAGTCTCCTATATATGGGAATAAGAAAACTCAAATGCATTTAATTGTGTTTAGATCCTTTGGGTTAGTGGAAGACGAAGAAGACCAGTACATATTTGATCACAACATTGACCTGGTTTTAGACTCCAGGAGTTAGGCTGGATAAGCATCCTTGTCTGTTCATAAGTTAGATGCTGATCAAGTTATCCCTGGGGCTCCCAGCCTCGAGGACTGCCCAGCCAAGCTCATCACGTATCAGTGAGGGCTTTCCTGGTTTTTAAGTCTCACACTTGGAGACACTTTGCCTTAGTTAACCCTCCAATTTTAATAGTAAACCCCTTTGTTCACCTTTTGACTTTTTCTCATTTTGGTACATTCCATTTGTCAGTTAATAAAAATGTTTATAATTCTGTGGTGATTCAACCACCTTCCTCCATTGCCCTCAGCTTTTACTTCTCCCTTGGTATTACCTCAGTGTGATCCATTTAAGATTTACCCAGGGAGGTTATTGATCTGCAGACCTTGTACTGTAAAGGATGAAAGTGATGTTTGCCTTTTAAAAGCTTTCAGAAGCTTGTTGGGGGTGTGTGTGTGTGTGTATGTTTAAAGAGAGAGAGCACAACTCATAGAGAAGAGTTTGATGTTAGGCAAGTGGAATTTGGAGGGAGCTAAAGAGTGAAGTCAGAAGCATTTCAAAGAGGAAGAACGAGCATGGACTGTTCCTGCTCATGAAGACAGACATCCCTTCTGTATGGTGGTTGCTCCCCAGGACATTGGGTCAGTGAAGAGAGTGGATAAGGATTAAGGGTGAGAAAGACAAAGAGTGTAAAAACAGAAAACCAAGTAGATTTTGAATTCACTTCTGTGTGAAAGTCAGATTGCTGAGGAGGGAATCTCTCCAGGGAACCAGTCTTCATTAATGTGGACTGGAGCAAGACACTGTCTTCTTCTCTGACTTCCTGCCAAGGATTTGGGCATGCTCCCCCTTTAAAACACGAGTAGTTAGACCCAGCTGTGCTGGGTGAGTGAGGAGGCAGGTGTCCTCTCTTTTCTGCCTGGGATACTGGATCCCACATAGAAGAGTTTTAAACTACTCATAGTAGAGTTTCAAAAATATATTTTTTTCTGCTAGTATATGGGTAAAACCCCTACTGGACCAAAGTCTATAATGGAGATGTCCTGATTGAGTACATTCTGATTCAAGTGTTCCCTTCAAAACACAGCAGAATCTGGGATACTCAGTTCAGTGACTCTAGAATAAAATTAGACCCCATCAATCATTCATCTATTTATGTATTCATTCATGTTTAGCACTTGCTGTATAATGGCATCGTTCTCAGTATCAGGGGATACACTCAAACAAAGAGAGATACAGTCTGCCCTCACAGAGGACTCTTTACTAGGGACATCAGAATTCAAATAATTACAATAAAATATAATGAGCATTGCAATAAGAAAATACAGGATGCTGAGGGTGAATGTCAATGTATTGGGGTCCATCCCTAAAGAGCTTTTTTTTTTTAGATTTTAGGTATTTTTTTTTAGTTTTTATTGTTATGTTAATCACTATACGTTACATCATCAGTTCTTGATGTAGTGTTCCATGATTCGTTGTTTGTGCCTAACACCCAGTGCTCCACGCAGGATGTGCCCTCAATACCCATCACCAGGCTAACCCATCCCCCCACCCCCCTCCCCTCTAGAACCCTCAGTTTGTTTTTCAGAGTCCATCGTCTCTCATGGTTCATCTCCCCCTCCGACTTACTCCCCTTCATTCTTCCCCTTCTGCTATCTTCTTCTTTTTCTTTTTTCCTAACATATGTTGCATTATTTGTTTCAGAAGTACAGATCTGTGATTCAACAGTCTTGCACAATTCACAGTGCTCACCATAGCACATACCCTACCCAATGTCTATCACCCAGCCACCCCATCCCTCCCACCCCCCACCACTCAGCAAAACTCAGTTTGTTTCCTGAGATTAAGAATTCCTCATATCAGTGAGGTCATATGATACATGTCTTTCTCTGATTGACTTATTTCACTCAGCATAACACCCTCCAGTTCCATCCACGTCGCTGCAAATGGCAAGATCTCATTCCTTTTGATGGCTGCATAATATTCCATTGTGTATATATACCACATCTTCTTTATCCATTCATCTGTCGATGGACATCTTGGCTCTTTCCACAGTTTGGCTATTGTGGACATTGCTGCTATAAACCTTGGGGTGCACATACCCCTTCGGATCCCTACATTTGTATCTTTGTAGTAAACACCCAGTAGTGCAATTGCTGGATCATGTGGTAGCTCTATTTTCAACTGTTTGAGGAACCTCCATACTGTTTTCCAGAGTGGCTGCACCAGCTTGCATTCCCACCAACAGTGTAGGAGGGTTCCCCTTCTAAAGAAGGGCTTTTTAACTTAATTTAAAATGGTTGATTTAGAATTAACTGGTTGAAAGGTTTACATTGTGGGTGTGAGTAGGAAGAAGGGACAGCACAGGTAAAGGGTCAAAGCTGAGAAAGAGAATGGAGTTTCTAGAAACTGATAGAACACTTCCATGGTGGAAGAGTAGATAAGAGTAGGCAGGGAATAGATAAGGAGAACCTTGTCAGTTATAATGAGTTTGGGGCCAGACTGCATTCATGGAAAAACATTAGGGGCTATTGCTGTAGCCCAGGGTAGAGATGGCAGCACCTTGGAGCAGAGTGAGGATAGTAAAGATAAAAAAGACGTACATGTATTCTAGAATATTTAGAATGTTCACTGAAGGCAATTAGTGAGTGCATGGAGGTAGAGGGTAAAAGTGTATCGGATAAAGGATGACTCCTGAGCTTCTGCCTTGGACAGCTAGATGGGTGGTGGTACCATTTATTACAATAGGTAACATGAGAAGGAGAAATTTTAGAGAAGGAAATCCTATATTTAATATTTGACCTTTTGTATAAGGTGCCTGTGAGAAATCCAGGTGCAGATGCTTCAAAAGCAGTGGGTTATACCGATTTTTAAATTGAGAATCAAGGTCATGTCTAGCGATAGAGATGTACATATAGTTTTGGAAATAAATAGCATATCATTTTAGTTAGAGTTTTGATGATGGAAGCAATCACCAAGGAGAGAGAACAGAGGAAGTGGAATAATTAAGACAGAGACAAGAGGGATACCAGCATTTAAGGGCTGAGTAGAGGAAACATGAAGGAGCCTGACAAAGAAGCAGGAAAAGGTAGTTTATGGATATCAAGGCCAACAATGTATAATGTTGCAGAAAGATCGAAATTTACTAAGAGATTTTCTTTCTCAACATGGTAAGGCCTATTTCATAGATTTGTCCAAATGGCCAGGATGGTGGATGCCGTTGTTGGCCCACTCAGATTCCTTTACCTGTGGAAGCACCTGTCCCTAACTCTTGTGATAGCTGATAACACTTACCAGCTGTACTTCTTCTCTGGGTAACTATTCTCAGTCAAATGGGAGCTTCATCAACAAGGAGGCAAGATCCCTCACCTCAGCACCACCCTCAAAACACTAGACAGTGAGTAACCTTTGCCTCAAGGTGGGACTTAGTCTGTGTTGCAGTTCATCCTCCAGAGGCCCCTGTGGGGTAAGGCCAAATTGAGTCTCCACTGAGATCATAGACATACTAGCTTTTTCTTATTGCCCCATCCTGCTTTTCCAACTCCCTCCATAAATCACTTGAACAAGGATCCCTGTCTCAGGCTTGGCTAGAGAAGCTAAGACAGCTGGTAAACTTTGTCTTTTTTTTTTTGAAATCATGATATTATCATCAAAAATTAGAAAAAAATCCCATATAGGTCTCAACACAGCTCCAGTAGGCCTGCTACAGTAAATATCAGATATTTAAAGAAGAAGGAACAGAGATGGAAAGGAATCTTTTTTTTTCCTTTAGCTAATAAACAGTTGCATGTCCAGTAGGCTTTTGAAGAAAAGGAAATATGGAAACTTGCCTCATTTAATAGAAAAGAGAAGCTTCTTGATGGCATAAAACACTGGTTCTTTTGAATTTTCCACAAAATTCCTTTCAATTTCAAGTGTTCTACTAAAGGAGATAAGATAAATTAAATTTAACACATACGCATGAGGTGAACTCCATGATGGTGCCCAAAAGGGGCTTGTGTTCAGAAGAAAAGGAGGTGTTTGGGGAAGGCTTAGGGGAGGAGGTAGCTTTTGTGCCAGGTCTTGAGGCATGATTTGAGACTTGAAATGAGAGGGCTGAGGAGAGAAGGTGGAGTGCATGTGGGGGAGAGAGGCATAGCGACAGGGAAAAGCAGGGTCTGGTAAGAAAGCAGGTGGTGCTGGTTGCTGGTGCTTGGGGCTTTGAGGAGAAGAGATGCATGAACCCTGGAACTCTTCAGTCAACTGCTTCATTTCGTCCGGAAAAAGCAAGCAGTGGTCCCAGTGTGGAGGGCATCACTGCGCCGTCGTGAAGGAACTGAGAGTGGGGAGAACTTCGAGAAGGAAACCGGTCTTAGACAGCAGAAAAGGAAGGATGTTTTTTAAGATTAATAAAGAGAAATGCTGCAAATGCCATGCTTTAGAAGTTGTTCAAGGCATGTCAGTACCAAGTAATGGATTCCATCTTTGACCTAACAAAACCAAAACAAAATGAGATTTTCCTCCTAATTTCTTTCACAGTCTCATGGAGAGAGAACTAATTTAGGAAATTGCAGCACTTGGAAAAGATGAGTGTAGAAAGAGAGAAAGAACTCGAACCAAGAAAAATACACAGTTATAATTAAAATAAATATTCATAACTCCCCCATTCGACCCTCTCTTTAGCCCCCTCTTTCCTCTCACTCACTTAAAAGTCTATTATTTGAAATTTTAGCACTCGTGTTCAGTTGACTGAATACTCAGGATTGAAGAAAGACCCTCTGCCTCACTGAAAGCAGAGAATGACCTTGTTCTTACCCAACAAATTAGCTAATGAGTTTATGTAGTATGTTTAGCATGAAGGTCTTTGCAAGTATTACACTGGGATTTACTTAAGGTATGCAGTTTTTACTTGACACTATACACATAATGTCAGCTAAGGATTCTGCCCTTCTGTTTACCTCAATGACAGGAACACCCAGTGGTGCTGACAAAATTTATTGAGGGGGCCCGGGAAGTGGAAATGGATGCTGTTGGCAAAGATGGAAGAGTAAGTGCTTTATCCCCATCTCTGAGGTCTCTGCCTTCCCATCAAGTTTCCTTTTCCCCTGCTTGGCAGTTTTGAAACAACACAGATTAGAGGTCATGATTTCCACAAAACAGGCCTCTGAAAATAGTGGAAGAGTTGCTCAGTCCAAAAAATTTTCAAATTCACTAACAATTTAGTTGATGTGTCATGGGTATCGTATATCCTGTGTTTCATACTGTTAGAATTTCTCTTTGATGATATTCAAAATTAATTATCATCCTATACTCATCATTCTTTTTGAATAGATTTTTCTCTCTCATTTTCTTTTGTCTGTGGGTTTCCTTTTATGTTTCAATGAGTATTATAAAAACATCCAATACTTGTCTTTCTGAAGTTCCTAATTGAATCCCTAGTTTTTCTCCTCTCTTGATTTCCCAGCCTCCACCTTTTTATTGTGTTAATAAAGACAAAACTAAACAGAGTAGGGTGGGTAAGGATAATAACATAAAATTAGCTTACCAAATCACATCTTGTATTGCTAGTACAATGAATGCCTCCAACTTCAGGGAAAAATGACAATGTGAAGAATGCTTTCCTTTAGTTTGCTAGTTGTACTAATAAGGTATTTATGATTTATCTTGAAATATAGGAAGTTACATTTTAGGAAGTTCGTGTCATTTTATTTGCTTTAATGAAAAATTAAAAAAAACCCAACTTTCCTTCATTTTCTACTTTGTAGATACTTCAGAACACTACTAAAATGTTAAATCTTTTTGGCTTTTTGTCTTCCAGATTAACAGTTCAAAGTAGGGTTGTTTACATACACACACACACACACACACACACACACACACACAGCAGTGATGACTGCTTACTACAGAATCATATAATCCTGAGTGTAAGTACCCTTAGAAATCATTTATTTCAACCCCACACCCCAAAGGATGAGAATTTTCTTCACAGCATCCCCAGAAAGTAGTCACTTATTTTCTGTTGAACAACTTTGGTTATACAGAGCACAGAAAGTTATCAGATTGAAGGATGTCATATATATAGATAGATAGATGGATAGATATAGATAGCTATATAGATAGATCTAATAACATCTCACTTATTCCTTCTTTTGAAGTAAAGTCTGCTTCCCTAGAATTTTTTCATTCCTGACCTTCTGGCCTCCAGAATTGTAAAGCATATGTTTAATCTTTCCTGCTTTTCAACATTTTAAGTATTGGAGACTCAGGTATAAAATGAGAGGGATGTGAGCATACCAATGTCAATGTGGAGAATGTAAGACTAGCCTAGAGATGTTTGTGGTTTTTCAAATATAATGCTGGTCTGTTGGCCTGATTTGGCTCCAACTTGCTAGGATATGCTCTTCATCTAAGTTTCTCTCAGACATCAACCATTGCTTATCATCCTGGACTCCTTCTTTTGGAAATGTTCCAGGTTATTCACATAATTTTTAAATAGTCACACTCCTAAATGGACATAGTACATCAGCTATACTATGATTTTTTTCGGAGCTTGGTGGGAGTGTTGCCTCCCCCTTTCTAGACACTATAAAAAAATTTGAATGCTTACTATGCACTAAATACCATGTCAGACACTGTATATGTGTTCTCTCTTATCCTTACAAACACACTATGAGACTGATACCATTGTTAGTACTGCCTTATCAGAAACCAAGGTTGAATAGATAAAGTACCTTGCCCAGGTCACAGAGCTGGTAAGTGACAGCAGGAGACTCAAATGCCACTCTGCTTTAAAGTCATTTATAAATCTGATAAAAAAAATTATCTCTGTAATTTATTTAAGTCTTTTACAGTTACCCAATTATTTTCCATTGACTGTCAGCTTTATCATTTCCCAAAGACACACATAGTGTTAGCATTCAGGTTATGATGATTGAGACCATAAACTTTGGAATGTGACAGATAAGGTCTTCAAATCTGACTTGGCCATGCAGTAGTCACATGCACTTGGATTATTTCTTCTTATCTTGCCTTAGTTTCCTTACCTGTAAGAGAAGATAAGGATATTTTTTTCTTGCTTCCCCTTCTTTCTCAAATTTCAATTTAAAAATCTCTTGCTCCAGATCTTAAGTCTTCTTCCTGGTCCACCTAAGTTACACATGCACCTCACTAGATATTTACCTCTTCCATTGTTTCTTTTCCAGTGTCTAAAACCTAATCTGGAAGGGAAAGATAAAGATCCCTCCAGTGCCTCCCAAATGCTTTATTTTCCTATTCTTTCTTTTTTTTTTAATTTAATTATGTTCTGTTAATCACCATACATTACCTCATTAGTTTTTTTTTTTTTTTTTAAAGGTTTTATTTATTTATTTATTTGAGAGAGCGAGAATGAGAGAGAGAGAGAGAGCACATGAGAGGGGGGAGGGTCAGAGGGAGAGGCAGACTCCCCGCTGAGCAGGGAGCCCGATGCGGGACTCGATCCCGGGACTCCAGGATCATGACCTGAGCCGAAGGCAGTCGCTTAACCAACTGAGCCACCCAGGCGCCCCCTACCTCATTAGTTTTTGATGTAGTGTTCCATGATTCATTGTTTGTGTATAACACCCAGTGCTCCATGCAGAACGTGCCCTCTTTAATACCCATCACCAGGCTAACCCATCCCCTCACCCCCCTCCCCTCTAGAACCCTCAGTTTGTTTCTCAGAGTCCATAGTCTCTCATGGTTCGTCTCCCCCTCCAATTTCCCCCCCATTTTTCCCTTCCTACCGTCGTCGTCGTCTTCTTCTTCTTCTTCTTCTTCTTCTTCTTCTTCTTCTTTTTTAACATATAATGCCTTATTTGTTTCAGAGGTACGGGTCTGTTTCCTATTCGTTCTTAAAAGTCAACCTGAGTCAGTTCAGTTGTCTTCTTTTCCTGATTCGAACCCATTCTAATTGATGGAGGAGGGAGGTCAGCTCAGCCACTGTCAGCTGCCCCGGGGGCCGTCTGTCACTGCACAGGGAGGTAGTGACGTCTACATGCAGGCCTCTATGTATTCCCTCGTCAAGGGCTCAAAAAGAAACTGGTCAATGCTCCAGGCATCTGTTAGGATATGGCGGGTGGGGAGGTGGGAGGCAGCTTCATTGAAGTAAGGTACCTGACAACTCTTTCTAAAATCTTCTTTCGGCCAGGTTATCTCCCACGCTATGTCTGAACATGTGGAAGATGCAGGTGTCCACTCAGGAGATGCTACTCTGATGCTGCCCACACAAACCATCAGCCAAGGAGCCATTGAAAAGGTCATCATTTATCAAGAAAAGTGGAAGGGGAAAAAGCAAAGATAAAAATTTTTTTTTTTAACTAGGTAGCAATGTAGGACATGCCCCGGGCAAAATGTAATTATGAAGGGAACTTTCTTGCTCTGAGTCTGCTGGGTGTTTTAGAGATAATAATTTCCTTCCTGCCCTCTTGAGCCCACTTGGTTGTGTGCTAGTGCGGTGGTTCTTGACCTTCAGTGGTGTCATAACAACCTGGGGAACTTGCTAATCTACAGACTGCTGGACTCCATCCCCAGCTTCTGACTCAGTAGTTCTGAGCAGGGCCCCCAAATTTGCATTTTTAACAACTCCCCAAGTGATGTTGCTGCTGCGGACCTAGGGACCCCATCTGGAGAACACTGCTGCAGATGGTTCTCATGTTTGAGAGCCACTTAGATGAGTAGCATATAAAGCTATGCTTCTCAATTAGAAGCAGGTATGCAGCAATCATGTAGGAACATTTTGGAACCTATGTTTTCAATATCCTCCCTTACCCTCATCTCCAATCAGCACTTTCTGACATGTCTCTTTCAACCTCTCTTTTGGAACCATCGCTTTAAAGACCTTCCCAGGAATGATGCCTCAGTACTCAATATGCACTGCTAGGTGGCCTCGGAGACCATCATCTTAAATAATTAATGTGGATGTTCCTTTACTCTTTAGGTATGTTAGGTCAGGCTTGGCTTGTTCAGTGAGCCTTACCAATAATCCTGGGCCATCCGAATCTAGGTAGTCTGTCTGTCTGGCTGTACTTTGGGCTGGATTCTGAAGATCTTACCTTGTTCTAGATGTGAAGGTAGCAGGGCATGTTGTAACACCAGCTGCCTAAGAGAACCACATCCCTGGATTTCAAGTGTGCTTTGGTTGATCATGTCGGTATAAATGACCTCAAGAACTCAGATTTTTCCAGATCTCTCAGAGTTTGATGTGCCATGGACCCTGCTCCCTTTTATGACCAACTAAGTTGCCAAATCACTCTTGTAAAAGTAATGAATGAGGAGCTCTTGTTTCTTGCTGTCAGTGGCCCCTCATTGCATGGGTACCTTCTGGCTCTGGTTGGATGCAGGGATTCATCTATTTGACATGCAGAGCTTCCTGGCAAGGAAACGTATTTTCTTTCTGACCATACTATCTACCCAGGTAGAGTCCAGGGCAGCAGAAAAGCACATCAAAGCAGTGTCTCTGGTCTCTTTGCAGTGCCATGTAATTTCAGGGCCTGCTCTTCTCAGCAGGTAGGTCAGGAGAGTGATAGGAAGTTTGGACTGCAGTTTCTGGTGCTGAAGCAACTGGACTGAAAGAATTCCATTTAGCCCTCAAAGTAAAACCAGAGTATACAACGGCAGGTAGATAGGGACATTTGGCAGAAAGATAATTTTGTAAAATTATTTGTTCTTCTCCTTGCTAGTTTGTTATGAATATTTAGTATGTATTATTATTTTATTGATAGATGCCTGCTAGTGGCTTCTATTATTATTATTATTATTATTATTATTATTGCCATTATGACTGTTACTGTTATTAGTGGAGGTGTAGCTCTATGTCAAGAGAAATTAAAGAAATCTAAGTTTGTGGTGTTTTCTAACCAAGGTATGCTCTTTAGCTCTATGTTATTGTCCTTTTGATCTAGGTGAAGGATGCTACCCGAAAGATTGCAAAGGCTTTTGCCATCTCTGGCCCATTCAACGTCCAGTTTCTTGTCAAAGGAAACGATGTCTTGGTAAGAAATGCCAAGGTGCTTGAGAGGACACGAAGCTGTGTTAGGTTATGTTGTTTTGTGTCCCTCTGGTAATCTTGGTGAGCTCAGACAGAGTAGCTGAGACTCCTGCAGCTATTCATGTCTGAGTGTGGCTTGTTGCACAGCATATAATGCCTGCCTTGTTTGAAGGCAGAGGTCCTTGGTGGCACTGCTATGTCAGTCCCAGTTCTGGAAAGCACTCTGATCCACTGGAAAGAGGATCGCTGTCTGCCATCTACAGTACAGTAGAGATGGACGCAATGACTATCTGAATGTGTAGAATAGTCATCAATTGTATACACTGAAGTTTTAGATACTATTTACATACAAAAAATGTTAAATCAACTAGACTAGTCTTAATTAATTTAGTCGCTATTTAATGTAACCAATCAGTAACCAGTATTGGTTCAGCAGCATCTACTATGTGAAATCATATGGTGGCAATAAAGATGTATAAGCCACAGTCTTTGCTCTTAAAGATACTCAGTTTGGCGAGAACTGGGAAGATGACTTTGTAGACAACTATAACATAAGTTAGAATATAATAGCTGCTGGAAGGAATGTACAAATACATGGTATTGGCATCATAGAACAGAGAGAGCATATCTCCTAGTGTGTTTGTGTGTGTGTGCGCGTGTGCGTACACACACATGTGCATGTGTGTGCCTGAGCATGTATTTGAGTGTCATATACCCGGTTTGGGGTGGGTTTCAAGGGAGATTTTGTATTTTAAGCTGGATCTTAAAGAATGGTTGGAATTTTGACAAGCAAAGGAAGGTAGAGAGGACATTACACATAGAACATCTAAGAGAAAATTTGGCACATTTTAGGAGATAGCGACTAGTTCAGTTTAGCAAGATCATTTTTCTAGGGAAATAGTGCAAGTCAAACTTGGAAAATAAAATTGGGGTCAGGGAAATGGTACAAGATAACATAGAGAGATATATCGAGGCAAATGAATAAAAAGCCTTCAAGGACCAGACTTTCATCTGATGGCCAGTGGAAACCCAGTGAAGGCTTTTTGGTAGGGATGTGGCATTATCTGAGTTCTGCATTAAAATCCATTAGCGGTGTGTGGGGATGAAGTTGTGGAAAGTGGATGGAAGAAAGTCAGAATTCAAAGATACCGACTAAAAAGAAACTGGTTAGCAAAAGTGCAAGCAGTGGGGAGAGAAGGAAGAGGCTGGTAAAAGAAGAGCTGACCCCAGTGAAAAACAGCTAGAACCCAGGTGCCAGGGAGAATGTTAATATGTTGTCATTGGCTCTCACCATCCTTTCTCTTTTTTTGAATTTTGTTATTTCTCCAGGTGATTGAGTGTAACCTGAGAGCTTCTCGATCCTTCCCCTTTGTTTCTAAGACACTGGGGGTAGACTTCATTGATGTGGCCACCAAGGTGATGATTGGAGAGAGCATTGATGAGAAACCTCTTCCCACATTGGACCATCCCATAATTCCTGCTGACTATGTTGCAATTAAGGTAACATTAAAAAAATCTATTAGTCATTTTTTAAGTTTCAAGAAATTAAAGGAACAATTTTTCATCAAAAATAATCTTGAGGGATGCCTGGCTGGCTCAGTCAGTAGTAGAGCATGTGACTTGATCTGAGGGTCATGAGTTCAAGCCCCACATTGGGGGCTTACTTTTTTAAAAAAACTTCAAAAAAGAAGTAAAAAAAAATAATTTTGATACTTCATGAACCTTCTAACTGAAGTGCCGGACCAGGGATTTACGGTGTTTCCTTTGTATAATGCACACAGGCAACTTTATATGATATTTTATCCATTTGAAAAATAACAAAAAATCATTTAGAATTACATAACTTCAAAACCAACTAGCTGAGTGAATTATAAACTATGTTAATGCGACTGATAACGGTGGTGTCGGTTTAGTTCGTAAACAGAAATTCTGGGCATATTTTGTTAGGATAAGGCTTGAATTGTGCCCCTTTGGAATTGTTCCAAGACTTCAGGAATGCATGGATCTTGTAAAAGTGTTACCCTGTGGAGTTGGTTAAATTCTAACTACCTTGGCCACCTTGCTTAGTTCCTATTTTCTTCAGCAGCACAATTTTCCACTTGAAAGTTGAAGTAGCAGTTGCTGTTCACGGTGGTGCCATGAAGGGAATGAAATTGATGGCACCTTTATGAAGATCGGCCAGAAAAGTTTAAGATTTGCTCACTAAATTCCAATATAGATGTATTATATTTCTAATAATACCTTAATAATAAAGCCATTGTGCTCCTCTAGCTAACTCAGTATGCCCATGCACAGATTATTTATAATTATGACCTTTAACTACTTCACAGGGCAAGCATGAGGATTAGTGAGATACTATATAAATATATTTGAATATTTTAGAAAAAGCATCTGATGGAATCAATTTATATTGTGTGATATATTTACGTGACATTTATATATTTTGGATGCCTTCAAAAGATTTCCATTCCTACATGTACTAGTGACCTCAGTCATAATTATGTTACAGTTGAGACTCTGACTTCTGATTTTTATAGTGGAAGCTTTAAGTTGAAGCTATAAATCAAAAAATGTTTATTAATCTTATTTAGCTTAATAATTTAGGATGACTTGGATTTTATAGTGCATTGAGATGGAATGTCACTTGTTATATTGGGGAAGGGTGGCACTTTATTCCTGGAGACTATGACACAACATAAATTGTTAAAGCTTTCAGTCGGAATTATACATAGGTAAAAAAATACATAGGATTTCTTTGTTTGAGACCAATAAGTAGAAGGCCCTGAAAAATATTTTCCACTGGAAATTCTATATATCATTTCAAATTCATGTTTCTCAATTCATAGACACAGAAATATACACACACACATGTGTATGAAACAATATCCAACTAAAAACAGTATTGATGGATAGATACACTTTTTTTCAAAATCCACTGTATCTTCCCATTTACTTCTTTCCTACTTATCATTGTATATGAATCTTGACTTTTTAAAGAAGAATGACTTCTTTATAGTCCATCTTAACATAGGCCTAGTAAGGTGGGTGGATATCCACAGATGAGAGCACAGAAAAGTGAGAGTGCAGAAATGTATAATAACTTGACTGAGGATGACCTCGTGAAATGGCCCCAAGCTAGAACTCCCAGGACAACTTGGAAGGGTGCCAGAATCCAAGGAAGAAGCGTCCACACTAGACAGACAGTTGCAAGAAACAAGCATTTGGTTCTTGGTGAATTGTACTGATAAAATAAATGAAAAAGAAACACTCCTATCTATGTTCTAGTTCACATGAAAGCTCTGGGCAAAAGTGTTCCCAAGCAGAATGTTTTTCAAAGCTTTTTAAGAGGTGTCAACAACAGTTTAATGTCTCAGAAGTCAGCTTACAGACAGACATTTCTGGCATGGTTGGCTGTTGCAAGTTCAAATGATCAGAAAAAGAAGAGGAATGTTTCCAAAGCCTACCAAGAAAAAAATGTGTTTGAACTCTGTGCGTGGGGAGACCAATGCCCAGTAGACTTTGTCTGAAATCACTCCAATAAGAATATGTGTAGGCCAGATTAGAAACACTGGCCTAGACTGGTCACAGGGGCCCTATTTACAGAAATAATTTGTGATTATTTAACCCAAGTTTTTGGCCAAGAGCTCAAGAAATTCTTGGAACAGAGTTTTAAAGCTATTTTTCAAGTCAGATGCTTGGACCAAGGAGATTTTTTATGTGTCTACCATAGCCTAAATGAATCCTGTGAGAGATGGTTCACTAAATATGTTTATCCTCTCTTATTCCTTTTATACCTTTCTCTCACATATTTTTCCTCCCCATTATTTCTGACAGGCTCCAATGTTTTCCTGGCCCCGGTTGAGGGATGCTGACCCCATTCTGCGTTGTGAGATGGCTTCCACTGGAGAGGTAACTAGTTAATGATCCCTGAATGCTTTCATTAAATCTACTTTGAAATCTATGGTTTTATGGTCTGGGTGTAATACAGTAAGTAAGTTATTAAATATTAAGGGGGACGCAAACTTCTGTTATCAGAGTAAGTCTGAAAAGGCTTAAGAATTTTGAACTAAAGAAAAACCTTGTACTTTTGTGGACCAGAGTCTAAATTTTCACTTATATTTAACTTGTGAATCTAATGTATGTGTTCTTAATTCATTTCCACATTACACATTGAGAACAGCTTCCAAAATATTTCTTTAGATGTCTAAGTAGGTATCTCCTGGGTCTTTCAGCTTTATTTTAAGTTTTCATTTCAAGGTCTCTCTGTAATAGCACTTCCCACCCCCACCCCCCTGAACCTCTTGCTACTGTGAAATTAAATCATTGGATTTTTACCAGCAATATGTAGAATGACTGTACAGCATTAGAAAGATCATGGACCTAAACATTGTGGAATCTGTAGATAAATGCAAAATCCCAAAACAACTTTCAAAAGCAACTTGAACCTCCTGGGGATTATCTAAAACCTATAATGGGATTGGCCACTGGATGTCCCTCTTCACTTGTGTTGGGACTCTTGTCAGCTGAAGGTTTCTTTAAAAATGTGAACTGTGTTTCTTGTAGAGAGCTGTCAGATTCTAGAAAGTTCCGTACATGTCAGTGTCAGGATATTTTATGAATCACCCAGCCCTTGACAGACTTACTAGATACAACCTTCAGATTCTCATCAGTGCACATCAGAGTGGCAACATCAGACTGTGAGGCATCATTGTTTCCTCTTGCTATTAAGGAACACCTGAAAGGGGAAAATATTTAATTACAATAAATACGTGATGTTTATGTGGTTGCCTGGTTACAAGCAACATCTGTGATGAGAAGTCAAGGGAGACAGGAAGGCAGGAAGTGAGGAATAAATGGCTATCTTATTTGTATTTGGACTGACGATTGCCTTCTCTTAGCTCCTTTGCGGCTGCTTTTAATTGACTAGGTGAGAAAACCTAGCTTTAAAACGAGGGGCCTGCCTTATAATTCTCTGCTGTTTAAGGAGCTGCTCTTCAGGTTCACCGTGATCTTATGGTCACTTGGTAGCAGGGCTGTTTTCAGCACATCCAGGGTTCAGATCAGGGAGAGATCTCGTTTCCCTTGTGCTGTTTTCTCTAGTGTGGTAAACTTATTTTCACTGCCTATGTCCATTCTGCCTCCGGACATACATTATTGGAGTTGTTATGAAAACATGAAAGACTTAGAAGCTCAGGTCACCTTTCTTGTGATCTATTTCAGAAGTATAGAGTTAATTCTTCTTCCCTTATTAGAATCATACTTCCAGGTGTCACTGAGTGTGATGTTACAAGGTCTATTTCATAACTGAAATCAGAATAGTAATTCTAGCTTAGGTGAAATCTCGGTTATGCTTTGAAGAGACATTTTCAGTGTCCAAATGGCTTGTGGGATTGAATAAACCTTTACCTCTTGATCTAGGTAAAGACTGTTTTATTTTCTTAGTAGCAAGGTAAGGATGTTAGACCTGAGCTTACTTGAATATCTGACTATTTTTTTTTTTTTTTTTTTTTTTTTTTTTTTGGAGAAAACTGCTGAAACCTCTTGCGTGTTGTTGTATCTGCTTTTATGATGGGATTGCCTGGTCCTGTCAGTAGAATTTGGGTTTCATTAACTGAGGTTGATATTACTGAGTGTAGTTGGCCATTAATTGATCAAAGAAAGAGTTCGCTGTAGAGTGAAAGGCAGCATGTACTGGTGGTTGACTGAAGGTTATAATCATGAGAACATCTCTTTCACAAGAAGGGAGTCATTTGCTTAAAGAGTGAATTTAGCCATCAGTGTTATTTACTGTAATGGTGGTTCTGTACCTGTGCCAAATGATGATATGTGTGGCAGAATCTATTCCCATCATGCCCAAATATACCACTTGTTCTATAGTTATGGGGTCCATTTGACTTGTACTTATCTAGTAGCACAATTACCCTAGCTGAAACTTCTGTGCATCCCAACGTTATATGTTAGTTTGGAATGGGTTTTTTTTTTTTTTTTGTTTGTTTTTACATATGGCTGTGCTATTCAGAACTAGTCTAAGCAGGGTATTTTGGTTCATTTTATGAAAATGATTTTTTTAAAAAAAGGTCCTTGAGGTTTTCATGGATTTATTGAATTTCTCAGAAAGCTCTCTCATAAGCTGTACAAAATGATTCCTAACCAATTGATCAGCAGTTATGCATTTGTGCTACTGACCCATGAATTCACTCACTGTGGCATCGCATACATAACATATACCGTTATTTAAACATTAAGTCATATTAACATTTGGTAACTTACCACATTATGGACCAGAAGCTGTGATTTGTATCCAAATAATTCACAGTAGAATCCAGTTATGTTGCTCCATGGAGTGTTGTTGGATAGAGAAAGAATTGCTTATTCTTTCTTTATGCTTAATTAAAAACATAAGATACATCTGCCCTGGCCAGCTTTTTAATCCCAGGATTCAGACTGCATGGTCTTTGGGCAACTCAATAAAATCTAGCAAAGGGCTCTATGAGTAAAGTGCTTTCCATTTGTATTTGTTTATCGGTAAGAGCTGTTGACTAGTATTTGCTTCTTTTTATTTTATTTTTTAATTTATTCTAAACAGGTGGCTTGCTTTGGTGAAGGTATTCACACAGCTTTCCTAAAGGCAATGCTTTCCACAGGGTTTAAGATACCCCAGAAAGGCATCCTGATTGGAATTCAGGTAAGTTGGTGTTTGGTTGCATGCATGCCCCTGGGCACATGCTAGGAGTGGCTGGGAAAGGACCTTAACTGTGGTATAAAAGAGGGGAGATTTGTTTTAAGCTCCACTAAAGAAAACAGCAACTAATAGAAAAAATGGACGTTTGTTCTCTATATGTTCCCTGAGTTTTGCCTTTTTCCATTGCAGCAATCAATACAAATAAGTGAATAAAGAAACAAGTCTCTAGTGAAAAGGGTATTTGTTCTGAAAAGGATTTAGGATGCCTTAAACAGGAATCTCTTCTATTTCTTGGTTGTATCTTTTCTCTGTGCTCAGCTCTTAGTTCTTCCTCCTTAGCCCCTGAACGTATGTTTTCCATAAAGCTGGGTCTCACCTCTTCTTTCTCTCTGTCTCTGTCTCCATCTGTCTCTTGACTTTCCCCTTTGCCAGCTCATGTCTGTGGTATCCACTGTCCCATCCATAACTGTCACCTTTATCTTCATCCATCATCATCCCGTATTTCCAACCATCTGCTGGATACCTCTCTCTGGCTGTCTCAACCGCAACACATCCCCAGCTGAAGCTGTATGATCCCTTCCTGGCCTGTGTTCCTTCCTTCTTTGCCTTCATTCATTCATATTTCAATTTCTACTAGAGATCTGCCACAGCCTATAGTGGGGAGATGCCTCAATAAACTTATCATAAGTTGAAAATGTCAGAAGCCAAAAATGTGCTTAATATTACCCACCCTACTGAGCATCATGGCTTAGTGTAGCCAACCTTAAGTGTGCTCAGAACACTTTATGTCAGCCAACAGTGGGGCAAAATCGTCTAACATAAAGCCTGTTTATAATAAAGTATTATATACCTCATGTAGTTTACTGAATACTGTACTGAGGGTGAAAAGCAGAATGGTTGTAAGTGTATGGGTTGTTTAGCCTCATGCTTGTGTGGCTGACTGGGAGCTGCTGCTAGCCCACATCACAACAGAGTATCCTACTGCATATCGCTAGCCTGGGAAAAGATCAACATTCGAAATTCGAAGTATGGGGTTGGTACTGAATGTGTATAGCTTTCACTATTATAGAGTTGAACTTTTTCAAGTCGAGGACCTTTGGTAAATGTCAAAGATCCAAAGCTGAAGAAGACATGGGCATTACTTGAAGGATTTTCTCACTCTAGGACTGATTGAAAGTTCTTGAAGGGAAGTAGCTTAATGGGCTTTAAGAAAGTTAGCAGAGCCCAGCCCACAATACACTGGGGAGGTTCTTGAATATCATTATTTGGTAAGTCTTCTAAGTCAAAGCAAGGTGAAATAATTATAAGAGAATATCTTTATACAATGAAAAGGGCATTATTGGTTTATTATTGTACATCAAATAGAAATCTTAGGGCAAAAAGGTAGTCAGGAAACTTTTATTACTCCCTGGAATAACTATTGCAAGAATGTACAGACTGTTCTGTTTATAAATTTCCTGAAAAATACTAAATGCTTTCCACCTGGTCATTCACTTACATTTAAGATTAGTAATTCTTGGGTCCTATAAAAACAATAGATGGTCTTAGATATCACTCCTGCCGTACTTTTAATAAGCTCAAACCCTGCATGGTTACATAAAAATCAATAAAAATATAATTAGAGCAGTACCATGTATTCTCAAGCCTGTGGGTGATTATTATAGATACCATCTCATTAGGGTGTCTTAAGCAAATTAGACTCTGGAGACTGGATGGGTAGTGGCTTTGGAGAAGTTTCTGCAGAGAGCAGCTTGGAATTTTGCTTCATAAAGGTGCCAAAAGGGAGATGGAGAACAGTTAGAGCAGAGGCTAACAAGATGACTTGCAATTGTGAAGCATAATGGCAGTTTGGAGACACATCCCACCATATGAGAGTCTCATCATGTTATAGATGAGTATTAAGTATTATTAAGTCACAAGTGTGAGAGTATTTGCCCAACTTCCAGTTACGGCTTAAAGTTTAATGTGAGACCTGGGGGCATTCAGAGGAGACCATGCCCTTAGTCCCCATCTTCACAACTAATCATAATAGTGCTAACATTATAAAATACCAGTTTAAGAAGGCAGTGATGTATAAAATTGTGCCTGTTTGCTTCTAGTGCTGCAGGAGATATTAAGCAAAAATTAATTCGATCCCTATGAAGTATTTGTGTGATTTTGGCATCAGTGAACAGAACTTTTTGCTTTATGGGTGGAAAAAAAGAGAGGGTTTTGTAGGGTAAAAAGAGTTTTCTCAAAGGAATGAGGTTCTGCCCACTGAAGTTTTTATCTTTCAGTACATTCTTTTTAAAAGAGATCAGTATTGCAGCAGCTACATGAGCTCTTGCAAAGAACTTTTTACTTGTGTGTGAGTGCACAACGTTAGGGCCTTAGATATGTGTCTGTTTTAATTACAAAGTTTAAAGAAATGTTTAAGGGATGCCTGGGTGGCTCAGTCAGTGGAGCATCTGCCTTTGACTCAGGTCATGATCCCAGGGTTCTGGGATGGAGTCCCGCATGGGGTCCTTGCATAGCGGGGAGCCTGCTTCTCCCACTCCTTCTGCCTGCCGCTCCCCATGGCTTGTGCTCTCTCTCTGGCAAATAAATAAATAAAATCTTCAAAAAAATAAAGAAATGTTTAATATAAAATTATATTTAATAAAATATTAGTAGCTGTGGTAGATTTGATCAGCCGGAGATAGACAAGAGTCACTTTCTGACCTACTCATTGTGGGCGGCAAGGAAGAGCTGCTGCTCCAGCCATTCAAGGACAGCCTCTCTGTCACCATCTGGTGGATTTTCACTGAGAGTGGCTTTTAAAAACGCATCATAAATTTAACCTAACAACATGACAGTATATACTAACTGGAGCATTAATAGCTAGAAAACTCACTGGGTATCTTCTCAGATAGCATGGGACCAAGTCTAACCCCAGCCTTTTACCTAGGCTTCCTAGGAACTGTGGACAAAGTAATTAAGGTTCCATATTTCAGTATGCATTGTACTTTTAAAAAATCATTTTATTTAACATGATTCAGCATGGTCAGAATAATTCACATAAACTCATTCAAATATATAAAGTCAGAAGTGAGAACAACCTAAAAAAAGGACTGCTAATGTATAAATGGGCTTTAGGGCCAGTAAATACAAAGAAACACATTTTGTTGAGTTCTTGAGGGACGTTCTAAGAAAGAAATCCACCACTGCATTTTGATTTCTTAAGATAATCATTTAGCCTGATGCTGCGTAGAATTCATGCACAGAGGAGTGCTGGTAGCCAGCACCACTGCAGTTAATTTGCTTTATTATTCCTTCATGGAGAAGTGAGGAGGATAGTCAGGACCTGTCCCATTTATTTGAAGGAAAGGCCTTTTCACTTTATCTCCCTACTGTGACCCAGCTTCCTGCTATGAACACAAGGATTTAATTGAAGATAACTCATTCATTTTCACAACAGGTTGCAAGAGAAAATTGGGGGAAAAGAGAAATTACGGAGGAGCCAGGAAACATTTTTTTCTTATTTTTGGTAGTTTAACACATATATTTTTTTTAAAGATTTTATTCATTTATTTGAGAGGGAGAGAGAATGAGAGAGACAGAAAGAGAGAGCATGAGACGGGAGAGGGTCAGAGGGAGAAGCAGACTCCCCGCTGAGCGGGGAGCCCGATGCGGGACTCGATCCCAGGACTCCAGGACCATGACCTGAGCCGAAGGCAGTCGCTTAACCAACTGAGCCACCCAGGCACCCAACACGTATTTTAAATAGTAATGTATTACTAACAAGTATCAGCCACTTTTTAACATTTAGTAAATAGAGTGTGTGTGTGTGGGGGGGGGCACACACATGCTAATTTGTTATACTGTAGTCTTCCTAACCTTTTCTTTTCTCTCTCTTTCCCACCCTACTCCTTTATACACACAGACTCTGTTTCTGCCCTCCCAAAGTTAAATGCTATGGGACAAATCACCTGGGGAATTTGAAATATTCATAACATCAATTGTATATAACTAGAACTTAGTGGCGGGGGGAAAAGTCAAGATTTAGATTTTGCCAAAGGATTCTTGTCAACTTAACTATTACATGCCCTGGTTCTCTAACAAGAGGTTTTCCATAGGCCTAGATCCTAACATAAGAAAGGCATAATGTAGGTTTATATGGCAACACAATCATCCTTGTTTTCCCTGCAATATTTCCAGACTCCTTTCATCCTATCAGGATTTATTTTTAGTTGCTATGAGTAGGCACTCTGCCCTGTTTTGAAGTTTTCTGGAACACCCTTTAACAATAAATGATGTACTCTAGAGCACATCAAGAGCACTCACTGTTTTTTCCCCTCTGATTGGGCTATTCAGCGATGTTTGTGGAGTGGCGGGCACCATCCTGACATCTGCGCTTCAGCATTGCTCGGAAACACAAAGCAAGCATTTTATTTGAAAAAGACAACTCCAAGTGACATGAATAACCTTTTATCTTCAGTACAGAATCATTAGGAACAGCCATAGAGTTGTTGATGCGGACGTCCCTATAAAGTCCACAGCACCACACAATAGTAACTTGGCTTTCTGTTCTGCAGCCAGAAGTTGGAATAATGTGAAAATGATAATTGGAGGAAATGTATACATATTTTTCATTTTAAAAGGACTTTCTTATAAACATTTTCCAGGGAATAAATCAGCTTGTACTTTTCACCTTTAGTAACAAATGGTTTCTTACCCAGGTATTTTCAATCAGCTATTAAATCCGGGGCTACTCAGATGCAAGCTGACAGCTGTAATTTCTTTTTGTAGAGAGGCTGTTTTATGTGTCACAAGTGTTCAATACATGTTTGATAGAAGTTTATAATGTGGCTATGAAAGCCAACACCCCAGACCAGACGGCAGAGTGGTTCCCCGGCTGGGAACTGCCAATACTGTCATGTCGGATATTTATCTTTTCCACTTGGGGGACAGCATTGAAACAGCTCCATAATGAGGTTCTGACTGGTGTCTGCAGGTCTTAGAGGACTTGCTGACTTATTTTACTTTAAAATAGCAAAGAAAAAAGTTACATTCTGGTACTCCTTCCTCAACATTTTTCATTGTGACTTTGGCCAAAGTTAATGGATCTTCACCTCAAATTACAAAATGAGTGAAGGATGGGTCTCCTAGTCCCTCTTCCCTCCTATGCCTAAACTTAAGTGTGCATCAGAATCACCTGGAGGGTTTGTTAAAATGCAGATTATTGGGATTCACTCTCAGAGTTCCTGATTCTACAGATCTGAGGTGGGACCCAAACATTTATACTTTTTTTTAAAAAATATTTTATTTATTTATTTATTTATTTGAGAGAGAGAATGAGATAGAGAGAGCATGAGAGAGGGGAGGGTCAGAGGGAGAAGCAGACTCCCTGCTCAGCAGGGAGCCCGATGTGGGACTTGATCCCGGGACTCCAGGATCATGACCTGAGCTGAAGGCAGTCTCTTAACCAACTGAGCCACCCAGGCACCCACATTTATACTTTTTTATAAAAGATTTTATTTATTTGAGAGATAGTGACAGAGATAGCGAGAGAGAGCAGGAGCTGGGAGGAGAGGGAGAAGCAGGCTCTCTGTTGAGCAGGGAGACTGATGCGGGGCTTGATCCCAGGACCCTGGGATCATGACCTGAGCCAAAGGCAGATAGATGCTTAACTGACTGAGCTACCCAGGTGCCCCTTTTATATTTTAAACAAGTTCCCAGGTGATGCTGATTTTCTGGGGAACCACATTTTGAGGACCACTGTGCTTGTGAAAGGATATATTTTTTAAAGATTTATTTATTTATTTTAGAGAGAAAGAGTTTGGGGGGGGAGGGGCAGAGGGAGAGGGAGAGAGAGAATCTCAAGCAGACTCTGAGCTGAGCACAGAACACCACATAGGGCTCAGTGCCACAACCCTGAGATCATGATCTGAGCTGAAACCAAGAGTTGGACGCTTAATCAACTTTGCCACCCAGGTGCCCCTGAAATGATATTTTAGAAAATGGTTTCAATGTTATGTTATCACATGGCCATATATTATTAGTGACATTTTGCTAGGGGAAAATTTAAGAAATTGAGAATAGTTTGTTCAATACGTAATGCATCAGTTAATAAATAAGTGGTTGGACAACTTTATGTTGCATCTTCTACTGTGCTCTGGTGCTTACTTAAGTCTGTCTTGTGTTTAGCAGAAGGTTGCAGTGTATTGTTCCAAATCAGGGAGATCTGACAAAATTCAGAAGTTCATTTAGAGTATTTCATGCATATTTACTACATTTCAAGGAACCTTAAAATGTGAAGAGACCTAAAATGCCATCCAATTCAGTCCCTTGCTTTCCAAGCAGAATCAAACTTGAAAAGTCATTGTCCTCTTCTGCTGCCTAACCTATTCTTAAGGAGACTGCCATATGCCTCATTAAATTACACTAATGTCACTGAGTTACTCTGATTTTATACTTACTTATTTCCTTTTTTATGTCTAGCCATGAGCTTCTTGCACCTAAGGCCCATTTCTTCCTGTTTGGTCCTAAGCAGGAATGGAAAGCTACTATCCTGGGCATGGTTACAACTTGTGTTCTAGAAAACTGTCCATGAATAACCCCTGAGCCTACCTTAGCTGAGATTCATCCAGTTGCATTTATCTTTTCTATTTGCCAATAGTTTCCTCTCATAAAACTGCAGTTCTGGGATTGAGAGGGCCTGAATCTGAAAGAATTTTATATCTGAACATAGTCTTTGGAGTCTTTTCCTAGGATTTAGATCTGTTCTCAGAAAGCCTCTGCAAGTAAATATTAGGAGGTTTTATGGGCTGAACATCATCAAAATTGTGCAAGGATCTTGATATGTTTTATTATCGTAATTCTTGGTTTCTCTGAGACTCTGAAATAAGATCATCTCCTTGATTTTTTTTTTTAGCCGTTACTAATATGGTTTCTAAATAGATTATAAAACATTTACCGAAGTAACCAAATTATTTCATCTGTTTATAAACTTTTTACAAGGGAAAACAGCCAAAATGTGCAGCCAAAAGGCAGAATAGATATGTTTTTAACTGTGTATGATTTTCATATTCTATTTAGCTCAGTTACTCAAACATTCAAGTTAATGAGGTCAAGGTAAGGGACTGACTTTGGGGTAGGCCACTTAGCCCTTTTTTCTCTCACCCTGACCACTGTCTTGCAAATACTGGCTTGTGGTCACAGGAAGGGGGTAAGTTCAGATTGGAAGAACTCTGGTGACAATGTGTAGGAGTCCAGGGAAAGCAGGACCTGGAAACCAGATGGGTCCCGCTGAGGCTCTAGGAAGTTCACAACGATGGGCTCTAAGAACATATCTGAATGGTGAGATGGAACATGAGGGAAGCTTGTCTGGAAGTAAAATATATGTGAGGAGGAAGTTGGCTTGTATTTGAAGTAGGACAGCCAGTAGAGGAAGCCAGGCTTGGAAACTAGGGTGCAGGGGCAGGAATCTAGCCTCTGGGAGGCTGAAGAAACAAATATCTTAATAATAACAATGAATACTTAATGAGAACTATTAATGGACAAGTAACCTTGTACAACAACTATTAATGGACTAAGTTCCTACATGGACACTTAAGTAATGCTTACTTATGAATTAACTCATTGAATAGTCACAAGGACCTGTTGACACAGACACTGTTACTATTTCCATTTAACAGATGAGGAAAGTACATCACAGAGAGGTTAAATAAGTTGCTCAAGGTCACACAGTTTATTGTAGAGTCCCAAGAAATAGATACACTACTATGCTCACTGCCATTTTAAAAAGGAAGAAATGGAGACTCAAAAGACAACTTTTCTAAGGACACACTAAAAATGAATGGTAATGCCAGGATCTCAAAGGCAGCTTAGTGACTCCAGAGCCCATTCTTTTACTCTTTACTTTAAAGTTAATGCAAAATTGAGTCCAAAATGGTTGACTTATTGAAGGGAGGTTTGCACAAGCTGCTAGGACAGGGCCCAGTCTCCTAAGAGCAGCACCACGTTAGAATTCAGCCGGTTGAGCAGGCAGAACAATTAGCAAGGCTGACCTGGTGTTGGACTCCTACCCCAGGTGTCTTTAAATTCTCCCTGACCTGGGGAAGGATCCCTATAGGACTGAGGTGGATCCTAATCTGCAGACAGACTAAGTGGATGAAGTAGAGAGTAGAGAGGAATTTGAGGGCAAGGTGAAAAGTCAGACTGTAGAAAGCGAGACAATGTGGGTGTAATCTTATCTATATCAGAGAAATAAGTAAGAACTCATACTTACTATAGGAGGATTAAAGGATTGAACTTGTCACTTTGAATCTAAAGCACCTGGCAACATATGGCATTGCCTTGGATGATGGTGTGAGTAAATACCATATTGCATGTGACTAAAAAAAAAGCAGTGTATCTAGAAAGTGAATTTTGTCAAATTCTTTTAATTTCAGCAATCATTCCGTCCCAGATTCCTTGGTGTGGCTGAACAATTACACAATGAAGGCTTCAAGGTATGTAATATTAATTTTTTCCAAGTCGTTTTCTATAAGCATTGAAATCTATTCACAAAAGAGAATATTAATGAATCTTAAGGAATGAAATACCTCAAAATATATCCTTTCAACTTGAAGGATTTAACTAACGTGATTAATTTCAAAACTTCAATAGACTAAAATTATTAGAAAGACTAGTTTTAAGTTTTAACAAAGGTACCATAAGCTCCACAGGAGTTGCCAGCTAAAAACTTAGAAAGTTTAGTTTATGCAGAATTGGGACAAAGGTCCAATGAGTCTCCAATATATCTTTCCTTTTTCCTTTTCTTGTTTCTGTATGAAGTCATAGTTTCCAGCTGTTGCAGTTATAGGCAAAACTTCTTTGCCACAAATACCTCCATGCAAAGCCCGGATCAGTAAAACAAAATGATTCCCAAGGCTCAGAGTGGGCCTGTGGTCATGGGGCTTTGTTGATTTGATAACAATGAATCCTCAGCCATGAATAATTCTTTATTTTTTTTCTTCTACAAAAACAGTTAAAGTTGAGGTCATTGAATTGTTCCTTAGACCATTTTAAAAATACTTAAAGTGCCCATGACTCTGGACAGAGAGTCCAAATCTCAATTCATGATATTATTGCTTCTCATATACACCACTTTCTTATACTTTATGTTTTAAATGACAGATGTGTCCCAGTAGGTTTCTTTGCTCCATGAAAGCCTTCCCTGTGATACAGTAACTGACTTTTCCATTTTAAATGCAGCTCTTTGCCACGGAAGCCACGTCAGACTGGCTCAATGCCAACAATGTCCCTGCCACCCCAGTGGCATGGCCCTCTCAGGAAGGACAGAATCCCAGCCTCTCTTCCATCAGAAAGTAAGAACTGGGCAGAGTTCTATCCTCCTACAGATAGAGGATTACCTTCGGGAACTAGTATGATGTGAATACTTCACTTCACCCTATTGCAAGTCTTCTAAAAGTCCTCTTAGCCATTTCAGATGAATAAATCTGTGGATTTATTCATCTGAATTATTTATTGTAAAATTTCATTCTCATGAACCATTCTGTTACTATAACATACAATGCCATATGTCTACATGGTGATACATAGCATCTTTCAAGATATTTTCTAGTAAGGGTGCTTTTCTGGATGGACACCAAGATCTCAGTGATGAGAGTCAGAGACATGAAGAATGTAATGCAGCGCTTTATATTTTACATCAAGCTTATATTGTATATAGATGTGTATATCAAATATAAGATTGACCTGCTGCATTTCACTGAGGTTGCGCGTCAATAAATCAGTCCAATTTGTTGAGCACTTGCTATATGCAGGAGACTATGGTGAGTGCTAGGATAATGCCATCCATTGAATTACCTAACTTACTATTCTCTGATCTGGTTGGGTATTATGCCTCAGGCTATGTCATCACTAGATTTGGTAAGACATATTATTTTAGTGCACTATGTGAGTCTTTAGGGACTACATTACATCAACACTTATAGAAATATGTGGCATAGGTACATAAGAGATAATTCTTAGTTGTTCTAGGATATTACAGTCTAGTAGATGGCTACCATTTGTTAGGGCTCTCAAGAAGGCAACCTATAAATACATTATCAAATTAATAAAAGAAGGGCAAATTGTTCAGACCTTAGTAGACTTCCAATGAAGCTATAAGCACTTGGTTAGGACTTTGTAAAACAACAATTAGCATTACTTCATGTTTTTGATGTTTAAATGTCTCCTAGTATGTATAGCAGCCCAGCAACAGAATGTGAAGTGATTTAATTCCAAATCAGGTGATCTGTGTTCTCATACCATTAGCTGGAGGCACTGGGAAGAAGGCAGTGAGGTAAAGTTAATCTGGGAGGTGGGAGTATGGAGGTGGAATGGACTTCAATACTGGAGAAAAACCTTGTAAAATGAGTAAATACCTATCAAATTACCAATTCTTCTATGGATAGATGAAGCATTTGAGAAAGAAAAATCTTTCCATTTAATTAGTTAGACTTTCACCAGAATTCTTTCAAGAACACAATAAAAAATTATAACCCCCAAATGAGTGTAATTTGAACATCTACTTAGGAATAGAGGGCAAGTGGCAGTCCACTCAGTATGGCATTGACTTGAGTGGCATAAGAGAATAATTACTTCAGTATTTTGAAAACTAATTATAAAATATACATTGCCACCTACAAACTTTTGTTTATTTTGATTATTCTTCCAGATTGATTAGAGATGGCAGCATTGACCTGGTGATTAACCTCCCCAATAACAACACTAAGTTTGTCCATGATAATTATGTGATTCGGAGGACAGCTGTTGACAGTGGAATTGCTCTCCTCACTAATTTCCAGGTATGTTCTTTTCCTTAAATATAGCTACGTGCAGGTTTTTATTTCTGTGTCACCCTTAAGAGTATTCATCAGCATATGCACATCCCTCTTCTCCCCTTCTTGTAACATTAAGAATGGAGAAGAATTTTTAAATAGAATCTAAAATAATGGTGCTATTAGGGTAGGTCATGGCCTAACTGAGACAATTGGTGACCAAGCAATTGAAATAATCAAAAGCCATGGATAGCCATGCTCTCTCATTAGCCATACAATTATCTTTTAAATAAAAAGTGTGGTGTGGCATGGAATAAAGATACAAACTTTTATTCCACTGTTTCTAAATGAAAGGCACCATAAAAGAGCAACAGGTTAATGATAATTGAAGATCCAGACACAGTGCAAGCACTTGTCCAATTCACAGAAAATGATCACATGAGGTATGCTTAGTTCCACTTGGACATGACCCACCAAATTTATCACGGAGAAGAACTGTACTTCAAGACTCAGTAACTTTCTACCCATCATATTTTTTTCCCCCTGAGTCAGTTTTAATCGCTGGGGGAGTTGAGGGGCAGGGATTAGCTTATTCATGGTAAGGTCTGAAATATAGGAGAAAGTCCCGAATAAATAAAAATTTTTGTGTCTTTCATCACATATCCCCTTGGAAATTGGGAGCGGAAACTGACCTTTCACTCCTGCTTCATTAAATACTCACTTTCGTGGCATGGGGGTCACTAAGATTACCACCCTTACATTTTCAGGTGACCAAACTTTTTGCTGAAGCTGTGCAGAAATCCCGCAATGTGGACTCCAAGAGTCTTTTCCACTACAGGCAGTTCAGTGCTGGGAAAATGGCGTAGAGCATAAACACCCAGCTCCAGCTGAAATCAACCCAAGCCCCACTGGATCTAAAGGAACTGACTCTCCAACCATCTTCCATAGAGACAAATACTGATACCAAACTATTTCAGTTTACTTGGTTATGCCTTAATGTTCTTTTCTTTCACAAATTGTTGTCCGTCACTTTTTACAAACCTTGCTTAAACTCCTTCCTAAATAACTTGTTCTACATGAGAATTCATCTATTTTCTAATGCCTTATTTTTGGTGGGCCAAGGTACCAAGAAGTACCTACGCGCTTCTTTGTAGCTAACATTTTATGGTGCTGATTAGGGTTGATCAAGGTAGAAAATGTCGCTGCTCTATCTTCTGAACTATTACTATATATACTTTCAAGACACTATTGTCATTCCTTTTAAATAGCATCTGCCACACTCAGGACATTTTAACAAGCCAGAATACTATAAAAATTTGTTAAAACAAAATATGGATTTAATTTATGAACCCCTTCATCAGGATGTTTGTGTAATGTATCTTTTTGATAATTATTCCCAATTCTCTGGCTCACCCAGGAATATCCCTAGTCCTTTTCATAGTACTGACTTTGAGAAGTGGCAGAGGTCTTTAAAGTATGGATTTCTTTAAAGGACACTGGTTTGCCGTTTTGTGTTTTGGAGTATGTCAGCGGATAGTAGATACCGCTGAGGTGGTTTTCTGTTCTTGTTTTTCTTTGGATTTTAAACCAGAGCCAAGTGAAATCTTCAGATTGATACCATCTCTCTCCACCTCTACCCCCACCCCAACTTTGGAATAACTTGGAAGTTATGTCCACTCCCTTCAGATTATGGATTCTGTTGATTTACGAGCCCCATATTGCGCTATGAATTCCACACATTTTAAACACCAGGTCCCCATTCCTTCTGCCTACAAGAAAAGTCCTTCCTACAGGGCAGCCTGTGTAACTTTTAAACATTTTGTGTATTACAAGTGCTCTAATTGTAAACTTTTAAATAAAATGCTATTAAGAGGTGAATATGTTTGTATTCTTGCATTTTATTTTATTATTTTCTTAACTTCGATTTAACTGATTTAACAAAATCAGTTCACTTCTCTGATGAAACACGGTTTTGAGCCGCTTTTTCTCTAAAAGCCATATAGGATATAAATGAGCAAATTAATATTAAAAATAATGATACCTAGGCTGTTACATTTTTTTTCTTTTTCCCTCACCTTGTTTATAAGTCTCATTAAAATTTATTATGTTATTATATGGTTATATATTGTCTTTGATCTGAATCCTTTCAAATATATACAACCCCGCACTGACTAAAGATTGCCACATAGATATAATAAACTTTTAAACAAATGTCTTGCATAACATAGAGAAGTACTTGACCCTATCAGAAGCTGATCTGTATCGCCTGGTGGAGATAGTGCTAAAGGTCCCATTGTAACCATATCCCAGAAATACCTCCCAAAATGGGGCTTTGTGAAGGTCCTAAGATAATGATGGCGTAATAGTGTGTATCCTTTCCCTCTCACCCCATAGTCAAGCGATTACCACTTGATATAGATTTACATGAAGGCTTTGCAAATTCATTTTTTCCTTCTCTCCTCCTTGTTACCACTGTGGCTGAAACCTTCATTACTTCTTCCCTTTAATATTAATGTACTCCCTGAGCACCCATTCATTCACTCACCTGAAAATATTTAGTAAGTTTCTGCAATGGTTGGTGTAGGATATTCCATGTTCCCTCCTATCATTCTAGTACTTTTCTGATACTGTACCACTTATCACCATCACACCCCCATAATAACTAACATCATGGAGCACCTACTATTCCTCAGACCACTCTAAACACTTTACATGATTTAACCCACTTAATCCTCTAAATAGCCCTAAGAGTAGGTGCTGTCATCTCCATATTATAAATAAACAGAGGCATACGAAAGTAAAGTGACATGACCAAGGTCACACCCAGCGCAGTCTCACTTTTTTTGGTCTTATAATGAAGACAAACATGTAAAATAAATACATTTCTCACAAAGAAGAAAGACTTAACTTGTCTGCAAAGAGCAGGGAAAGGCTTTTCTGGGAAGATGGCCTCATGTGTTATCTGGAACATCATGTCACAATTCCCCAGGGAAATGAAACAGGACGTCCATTGGAGGAAATTACAAGTAATTTGTATGATAAGCTCAGGGTATGTGTGGAGGAAGAGGGCAAGAGTCAGAAGTTGAGGCCAGAATCTCGGTTGTCTGTGTGTAAGCCACACGTAAATTTTTAAAACTTTGTTTGTAAATAATTTTGGACTTAAAAAAATTGCAAAAATAAAAATTGTACTCTCTTTACCCAGATTTACCTATTGGTAATATTTTACCCTATTTACTTTTTCTCACTTTTTTTTTTTTTAAGTAAGCTCTACATCCAACATGGAGCTTGAACTCATGACCTTGAGGTCAAGAGTTGTAAACTTTATTGGCTGAGCCAGCTTGGCACCCCTATTATTTAACATTTTTGTATTATGTATGTATGTATGTATGTATGTATCCATCCATCCATCATCTTCATCTGTCTCTATCTAAACACATGCACACAGGAGAAGGGAAAAGGTACACTTCAACCAGAAGTAATTAGGCTGCTAGTGACCAATTTAGAAATGTAATTCATAGTTTGAGACAGTATTGCTCACTGAATCGACCAGACATTGGAAACAATAGTTAAGTTTTGTACTGTGGGAATTTAATAAAGGTTCTTAATTTCTATATTAATTTGAACAGACTATTTGTAAAATACAATAAAATGAGAAGAATAATAGTAATGAAGGCACCTGGGTGGCTCCGCTGGTTAAGCTACTGCCTTAGGCTCAGGTCATGATCCCGGGACGGGTCCCGCATCGGTCTCCCTGCTTGATAGGGAGTCTGCTTCTCCCTCTGACCCTACCCCCTCTTGTGCTCTTTCTCTCTCTCAAATAAATAAATAAAATAAAATCTTAAAAAAAAGAATAATAGTAGTGAATCAAGCAGCATTATTCCTAAATAAAGCCCCCCCCTTTTTTTGGTGAAATAAAGGGTCTTTGGAAAATGGAAGACAAAATATATACTCTCTCCCTTGTGTTGATATGAAATTACATTAATTTTTGTTTTTGTTACCTTTCTGTTTTCTAATGTTTCAAACTTAATACTTTAAACACAAATGAAAATGCATTCAGGAGCTTTGGTTGGCAGAAGGAAATGCAAGGAAATGGAAGCAGATTTGTGTTCAGATTTGGCCAGGTTTTGTCTTTTTGGAACATTTTTATTCTTTCATATAAACAGGTTAACGCGTTTTTTAAATGTCTGAATCTGTCATATATCACAAGTGCAGACAGACAACCAAGAGACTATGTCTGTGGAGCTGAATAGAAAATCGAAGTAACTTTTTCCATACTGAGAATTTAATAGCATGTAAGGAGGACCGGCACTACTGGGTGGGGAGAAAAGGAGCTCAGCCAGCTTGTGAAATGAAGAACAGGAATAAAGAATGATCCGTTTATAGATTTAGGATTTTATGGCTTTGGAAAGGTAAGTAGAATATTTTAACTGTACTTCTGTCAAACTTCCCTCTTAAAACAGCATTCCTACTGGAAACTTTTAAAAAACAGCTACGACATTCATTTATCTCAACAGCTGCAGGTACTTGAACTTCAGCTTCTACGAGTGTCCACAGCCTCTTGAACAATGAAAGTGGAAATTATCAGAGAAACAAACCATGGCTGAATGCAGTTAAGTGCTCTGTAATTACACACCAGTATTACCACATGACTGCTGGTGCGGACCTCCCCCCCAACAGGCACAGGTGCCATAAATGCTCACACACACCCAATCAAATCCACAAAGACCTTTCATTACATATCATTTGAGGCACCCTTAGCTTGAAAGAAACTAGCTCAACTTTCTTTCCCTTCTTTCTCTTACCACTTCTTTTCACTATGTTCTTATACATAAAAATTCCATCTTTCCTAATGAATCTTACTGTGCTATTTTATGAGAAGCTGGTGCGACCGGTGAGCGTGAAGGTAATATGGAAGGGGGAAGAATGTCTATCCTCCTCCTGAGTGGCTCCCAGGGCTCTGTGAAAAATCAGTAATAATCGTCCCTACTTCTTTTGTGCATAATGTAGGGTGCAAGGTTTCCAGAAAGAGAGTTTAAGTACCTACAGCTGTTGAGATCAGTCTGGTAATGGGGGAAAAAACCTCAGCAAGTCAAAATTAGCACCATTTGTGCATGCTTCTTGTTACTTAAAGATTATTTTTTGAGTCTTGACAACTTTCATTTTATAAAGGACTTGTAGCCACACACAAAAAAACCTATTGATTGTTGACCAAAACAAAAAATAGATTTTTCTGGTAGCATTAAAGGTCCACTTTCTCTCTCCTGAAACTACCAGCCTAGCTAATTATTTCTTTAAGGCCTTCCCTAGAAGAACCACACAAACCACAGAAAAGGGCTTTTGTTTATCAAAGAAAGCAACACCAGCAGTCTCAGAAAAGAGTCAAAGATGCTGTGTCTCCAAGTGACAATTTCCCACACAAAGCTTGGTGCTGTTGGCAGCCATAAGGAAGACAGACATCAACATGCAGAAAGGGGAGAGAATCCAACAAGCTCAAAACATGTTATTAAAGAAGAGAAATAACTTGAAAAAGTGTACATATTTTATTAATAAACATTCTAATGGCCAGTGTCTAGACGACTGTATTTTCCTTTCTGAAACTTAAGGGCATTTGACAATCTCTTTCATAGTCTCCTTTCTACCTCCCTATGCAAGATTCTGAAGGATGAAAAACAGCAGGGCTTTGAGGTCTTAGCATAACAGAAATATTCTGCTAAGTGTTTTCTATAATTCTTTGCAAATTTCCACATAGAAAGCTGCAAATGAAATTTACATGAAATAATGTAATTAGATTGTAACATTTATTTTAATCTCTCCATTCAAGAGGATTTACATATGGATCCTTTTTTAAAAAAATATTTTCTAATTAAAATGAGGACATAATGTCATATTCTTTGCCAGGTTTGATATACTTTCTTTCCGACTCATAATTCAAATATATAGGGATCCTCTGGGGAAAGATGGTGGTGTTGCAGTTAAAATATGAATGAATAGGAGTTTAGAGATTTTTTAAACCATGAAGCATAAGTATTTGATGTAAATTAGGCTCATACTTTATTTATTGTATCAGAATAAGATAAAGCAAC